TTGCGAGCTCGGCGCACAAACTTTCGAGTCACCGACGGTTCTTCGATCAGTAGCTCGTTGGAAGGCCACCCTACCGGTCACGATGGGCGCTGTGCGACTTCATACGGCCCCGAATATACGTTCAAAGAGATCATAGCTTCCAGGAGTGCAATGTGTAGTACGAATTGAAGCAGTATACGGGTCGTGGCGGACGTTCGCTGACAGGTGTGGCCTGGCCGGCGGCGGAAGCAACCTTGGAAAACGCGATCACGCGACTTCCGCGCGCTTTGACCCCGTTTCTCACCCAGGCGGAGGATTCGGCGTGTGAGGTTCGTACGCGGTGTCACACGGGTCTAGATTCTCAGATCTGCGGCGCATGGTTTCTCTCTGTAGGCTGCGCCATGCTACTTGAGACGAGTAGGGATCGGCTACTGGGAGCGCGTACGACGCCACCATCGCAGGGTCCAACCGGTGATTGATCTCAACAGTGAGCGCTTCTTTTTCCCGTCGGTGAGCTCGGATACCGACTATGCGTGCACAGGTATCCTTGCGAAACGCGGAAAATGTATGCACGCTTTGTACACGAGACCAAACATAGCGGTGACGATTCCGAGGAGTATCCGACACTTAGTCTTGGTTAAGTATGATCGATCACCAGCGCCAACACGCAGCTTCGGAATAGATCCAGATGTCAACCTTTGCTCCGACATTGTTATGACCTGGTGCAACATCTATTTGCAACGCCACCTGGCAACCCTGACGGAAAGAAATGATGGAGATGGGGGATGTCGAAACTGTACAACAGGTTCAATGCTACAGAACCAATTAAAAATAAGGCGGGTTAATTGACACGAAATAAGTCAATGCAAGGCAGGGGGCAGGGCTACACGGGGTACGAGTCAAGGCGAGGCAGAAATGGGATCCAGCAAGCAGTCTCAGAGAGCGAAGTACATATCCTTCGCCTCCTGCTCTCCTCGCGAGATGACTTGCTCGGAAAGGTTGCCGTAGTCATGTCGGGACGACGACTGGGGTGCCAGCTCCACGTCAAACTCGACCGTCTTTTGAACGGTGATTTGCATGGCGGCTTCTGCGTTCTGGAACTGGGGCGGGCGTGGTAGGCGGGAGCGTTGGGCGCTACAGAAGCATTAAGTCAGACGAAAGCGGTCCAAATTCATGGGAAGCGAACTCACGCTGTTGGGGTGATGTAGACAAAGAGCTCCCTGTAGACGCGCGTTGCGACGATGACACTGCGGAACTGGTGAGTACGAACGACAGTCAAAGATAGAGATGGCGCGTACATGATAATCACTGTGATAGCGAGGAAACCTAAGTCAGATAGCGGAAGAAGCAAACAAGATCATCACGCACAATGCGGAGTGTTGAACATCTGCCGGCTGGTCAGCCGAGTTCATCTGAGAGTACTGAGAGCAACGTACCAGATTCCAGCCTACGTCGATGTTCAAGAAGCCCATTACCTGTTGGGATCGTCAGCGCCAAAAGTAACGAGCTGATGAGGAGCAACACACAATTGGCGGGACCTTGGAGCAAACAGCAATGAGGAACCACGAAAGTCCCTGAATATATAATACACGCCTAGCAATGACCACTTAGCTGGAGCAAGAGCTTCAGGAAGAGGAGAACATACCAGAGACCAGTTCCATTTCGCTTGTTCATGACACCGGCCAACATAATTGTCAAGAGGATAACGTCCGCAAACAAGTCCACGAGAATTCCAACCCGCAGCTTCTCAGCGCCGGTAATGGCACAGGTGCCTAAGGCCGGGAACCATACTGCTTCACCCTACAGATACCGATACCGTAAGCGGAGTCCAATGGGCGCATCAAATGCTCTCGGCGTACCAGCGACATAGCTATAAATATTCCGTCAGTGGGTGAAACGCTCGACGATAGGTGTCCGACGTACTCCAGATAGCAACAGCAACATTTCCGAGCCAGACAGAAGACGAGAAGACAACAACGTAGATGGATCGACCCCAGACGGCGACCCTGATGCCAGTCAGACCAGGTCCATCCGGCACACTGAATGAATGCGTACCCGCGCAGAAGAATCATCAACGACGAAAGCATGATAGCGGCGAAAGAGAAGACCTATAGCGACCGGAGTCATCAGCGCCGGTAGCACAAGGGCTAGCAAGAGAACGCACCAGTGTAGCGCGATACCACGCGCTACAGTTGAAGGCCGAAGGATAGTCGAAACCGAAGAACTCGGTGATGATAGCACCGAGGGCGAGGACGCGGGCTGCGATATAGACAAGCAGAGACCAACGCCATGGCCTCTTCCGCATGTACACCTCCACCTCGAAGTCTAAACTGGTCACAAACTCCCATCTACAAAAACCCACCCGTCAGCCGCATACACCAGAGAATACAGTTGAGACCACGGACATGTATATGCCGCCGAAGACATGGACGAGCTTGACGGTAGCAACTGCCAGGCGGAAGCATATTGTCAGTCGACGGGAATAAGGTGAGACAAAGCTTCCGGCACGCACGAACTGACGTCGGCAAAGAAACAGCAGCGGCCGCATCTGTGCCGCTCATCTTGCAGAGAACGGTAAGAGGGTCAGCGTCGGAAACCGCCGCCCAGGAGGAGCAAGGAATGGCAGTGAGTCGACCAAGGAGACCCCGTGGAACACGGTGGGCAAAGGCAAAGAGCACTCGCAGCGATAGCCTCGCCGGCTTACATCGGAGGAGCTACATCAAATAGCCCCATGCAATTTGGTGATGGGTAGATGATGGAGAACCGGGCGACCGACCTGACGTGCGTGGATTTGGCTTCGGTCGGCGGCACATCAGCGCATCAACGCCGAACAATAGTCAGGCTGTCAAACAGTTCCCATCAGCACTTCTATCTTCCATACCCGTTAGCCTTTTGCAATCGAAGGCTGGACGCGTAGGCAGACGGGAAGGATAGGACGATCCCCCAGTACGGAGAATGCGGGTAGTATGGCGATCGCAGACCGGAGAAGGCAACCGGGTACCTGTTACGCTTTTACTCTGGTCCCTGAAAACTACGCCGCTGCAAGGCCCAAACAGGCTACCGAGTGAAACTAGAACAGCCTCGGGCATGGACCTGCACGGACAAGTACGTGTGCACGGTCTGGATTTACCCATGGAAACCGGCGAGGGGAAATCATGACATCCACCCGTCCGTGAGTACTCTACAATGAAGAGAATGCAAATCCTGACATTGACGACGATCTTCATAAGGTTCATTAAGTAAATGTGGCCAAGAAGAGACGGAAGGAGACAGCGAGAGCGTAATAGATGTGGGAGTAATGTACAGTGGGTATTGAAACGGCGAAGCTGTACGGGGAGAAGCAGAGCATGCGAAAGCAACGACAGCAAGATGGCGGCGATCACTGACGAGGAGACCCAGAGCTACGCGGGACCTTCGCCTCGATGTCACCGAGTACGTGGACGCGTTTGTCCGCGATCTCCTTCTGGCGTTGTAGAGACCTACAGTACATGTTGAGATAAGTAACGACAACTGTAAAGAAGCACATATACACATACTTGATTTGGGTCTCCAGTTCCACGACGCGTTCCTTGAATCCTTGTTTCTCCCGCTTCACCTTCTCTTCAGCCGCGCGAAGCCTCGTCTCGTATTCCTTGACCCGGGCCTCCCACTTAGAGTCAGCAGCCGTCGTCTTCTGGTTCATGTTCGCCATCTTCTCTTCTGCTGCGGCGAGCTGATTCTGAGCGTTCGTGAGTCGTCGTTCCGCGTTGTTTGCGCGTGCCATGAGCGCCTTGACCTCGTTCGAGTCGCCGGGTCCAGGACGGCGTAAGATGTTCAGCTGCGACGTCAGATCAGAGAGCTGAGCCTGTTATAACCGTCAACGTCATAAATCTCGGAATACGGCACGCAACAAAACGCACCTTCGCCGTGTCCAGTTCGCCTTCCTTAAGACCGAGCTTCCTTCTCCACGAAGCTTTAGCCTCAGCGAACGTCTTAACGCTCGCCTCGAACTTATCGATCTGGCGCCAACGGTGATCAAGCTGCTTCTTGATCTCCTGCAACCGATCCGTATACTTCGTCTCCGCCTCCTTCACCCGCTTGTCGAAATCAAGCTGGATCTGACTGAGCGCTTTGAGCCTGGTGATCAGATTATCGTGGAAGACGCCGAAGTTCGTGAACGGCTTCGTCTCCGCCTGCCCGCTCTTCTTCTACAGAACCCGAACAAAGAAGGTACAAATCAGTTTACCTCTTACGGCGTCGCTATGGACCATGAGAAAGCAAATGCCACGAACCGGAGTCTTGTCCACGCCGAGGATCTTGTCCATGTATTGGTAGATAGTGAGCAGAAGCGTGTTCCGCTCCGTGAGTTGGTCGCGGTATTGGCTCTCGGCCGCAAGCAGCGAGCGTTGGTCCTTCGACAGCTTCGATTCCAAGTCGCTGACCCGCGAGCGGAACTTCGCCAGTTCGGCTTCGGCTGCCGAGAGGCTCTCTTGCGTCGAGTCGAGCTTCTCGGACATGTTCAAGCGCGCCTGTGTCTGTGCGGCGAGTTGCGAGGCAAGGTCGCGGTTCTCGGCGTGAAGCTTGTCGAGCACGGCGTCGCGCTCGCGCGCCTTGGTCTCCCGGTCGTCACGATCCTTGCGAGCGCGCGCAACTTCGTCCTCGAGACGCTCCAAATCGCGTTTGAGACGGTCAACCTCAAGTTGAAGGGAGAAGCGAGCGGTAGTATGGCTTTCGCCGAGGCGCTTCGACTCCGATTCCGCGCTCTGCAGGGAGTTCTGCAACGCCGCAAGATCCTCCTCTCGTTGCGACAGCAGCGATTGCGCACGAGCGAGATCCGTGAGGGCGGTCTGCAATGCAGACTCTTTCGCTTCGAGAGTCCTACGCTCGCGTCGGAGATCGGCGTCGAATTCACGCTCGGCCTTGTCGAAGTCGGCTTCGGCACGCTCACGCGCCTCGCGTTCCCTGTGAACCTCTGCAACGAGGCTCTCGACGTGACTGGCAAGTTCCTCCTGCCGTTCTCTGTGCGCAACGATGTCCCGAGTACAGTTCTCGTAGAGTTCAGTGACGTCCTGTAACTGAGCCTTAAGATCCGCAACTTTCTATGATAGTCTTATGAGTCGCGTGCACTCTAGAGAGGCAAGGGAGGAACATACCTGTTTCAAAGCTGCTGAAAGGGCCTCGAGACGTTCCCTCTCGATAGCTTCGTCCGCACGCGCCTGATGATTCAGCCTCTCCAACTTCTCGTTATCCTCCTCGAGCTCATAGATCCTCGAGCTGAGTTGCTCGATCTCGCGGTTTGATGCGGCAATCTCCTCATCCTTCTCCTGCCCTTCAGCTTCGAGATGCTCGAACGCTGCCTCGAACTTCTCGTGCAGAGCATTAGTGTTGGCCTCAAGCTCGTTAATCTGCATGCGTAGCTCTTCCGCCTCGGCGTCGCGTTTCTCGAGAAGCTATAGTGGGTCATATCAGCGAGCGCCATACCGCGAGTGTGAAAGAACACGTACATCACGCAACTCCTCATTCTGCGCCCTGACCTCTTCCAACTCGCCCTTCCACTCTGATTCTACATCATGTAGGATAGTATGGTGCTCGTCGTACAGCGAGTCCATCTCCACCGTCCGATGTTGCAACTCATCATCCTTCTGTTGCAGCTCAATCTCGGTTGACGTGAGCCTGTCGCGTAGCATGTTGACCTCGGCCTCCAGTTCTTCGCGCCCCTCACGCTCCTCGAGGATCATAGCGCGGCTCTCGCTACGCTCGATCGACTCGGCTTGCCTCCTGCGCTCCGAATCCTCGAGTTGAAGCCTCAACGCATCGTTCTGGTCCAACAACTCGTCGCGCTCCTCGTCGCGCTCGACAGCTGCGGCGGCGTGCTCGTCCAACGCCGCGCGAAGTTCCTCGTTCTCGATCTCGAGTTCCTCCATCCTTCGCCGCAAACGCCCGTTCCCGCCATCCGTTCCCGTAGATGACGAGAGTGAATCGTGCTCCCGTCGCGCGACAATATCCTGCAGCCGCTCGAGCTCCTCGTTGTTCTCCTGCAACAACCTCTGCACCTTCGCCAGCTCGTCCTCCAGCTCCTCATTCCTTTCCTCAACCTCTCTCAACGCCTCTTCCGCCGCACCCTGGCCTTGTGAACGGCCCTGCCCCAAACTTCCACCCTTCCTCCTCAACTCCCTAACCTCCCTCTCCCTCTCCGCCAACAACTTCTCCAACTCCCTCTCCCTGAGATCGCGCTGCGTACGATGCTGCAACTCCTTCTCGAGCTCCAGCACGAGCTTGCGCATCTTCTTGAGCTCGATGCCGCGCTCTTGGACTTCGATCTTGAGTTGGATATTCTGTTTGAGGGCGGCTTCGATTTGGTCGGGTGCGAGTTGGGAGAGGCGTTCTTCGAGGAAGTGGACTTTGAGCTTGATGTTGAAGTTCTCCTTCTTGAGGTTGTCGATGTGCTAGGAACGTATGTTAGCATTGGATTATCACAAACATACCAGACTCTCGAGACGACAGAAGTAAGAGCAAGATGATTATATCAGGTAACGGATCAACGGTACAAACCAACACAACAGTGTGTACAACCACACATCAAGCTCGGCACCACAGGCTTATATGTGGCACTGTTCGATCAAGTCTCGCCCATCTCGCAGAGAAACATATAGATATCATCCTCGGCCGCTCGCTCGTTCCGTCAACGGGAGATAACCGCTTACCTTCTCCTGATCTCTCAAAGTGAGGTTATTGCTCTTGCCATTCGCAGTGCTCGTCCTAGACCTCTTGCCCCTCTCGACCGACGCACTCCCAAGCTCCTCATTGAACTTCCTATCTCTCTGCATCGAGTTCAAAATATCTCCATCGTCCTCATGATCGTCCTGCGTATCCGTGCCCGAAACGCCTAATTTCTTCGCCACAGGCGTAGCGCCGTCCTCCAACTTTTTCCGAATATACGACGAGACGCGCGGAGGCGTAGGCGTAGCCAGGGGTGCAGATGATGGTACCGTAGACGAAGAGGGTATGCGCATTCCCTTGGCGGGCGTAGATAGACCGGACAAGTTCGCTAGCGAGCCTAGGGAGAGATCTTGCGGTGGCGCGATGGACTGCAACGACGAATCATCGCGCTGGCTGTAATTCCCAGCCATATTTTCTGGACGAGCGCGTCACTGCGCGGGGCGTAAGTCCGTCTGGGAGATGCCAGCAGTCAAGCGTGTTCACGGCCGTTCGACCACAACCTCGCGAAAGCCGCACGCGCGAGACAGCTTTATTGAAACACGGTCACGTGCCTATTCATACAGAGCGCGTCCACATGGACCTGCATCAGCAGCCTGCTATTGGAAATAATAATCTACATCGAAGAAAGATGACGTCCCAAGCTCCGCAAATATCCCTTCTCGTGCTCGTGTATGCTCTCCTTTCACCGCTTCTAGACATGCCCCACATCCTGTCGGCCTCAGGTACTCCTCAATCAATGGTGTGAGGTCCTCGAGCGCATCGGCGCATATTCGGTGCTGAAAGTCTTCCTCCGACCTCAGAATAGCTTCCCGCATTGCATGTACCGCTTCGATACATCTTCCCGGCTGCGGGCAAGACGAGGTCGGCCCGGGGTCACCATTGAGGAACGAGAACGTGTCCGTATGTCTTCGGTAGACCAAGCACGGCCGTGCAGCATAGCAAGCTTGCACGATCTGCATATCATATACACCGCTCTTGGCTCCCGTTTGGCACCTATCTGACGTCTCCAGAAATGAGATAGGCTCTGCGGCCGCAAGGTTGTATAGCGCGAGCGGCAGCACTTCGCGTAGGCGATATCGGAACGCCAGACGCGCCAGATGGTAGTCCACGTCCAGCGGACTCTCCACGTTGGGCGCAAAGAGTGACATAAGTGCCGGTCGCGCATGTATAGATTGATCGAAGGCAAATAAGGAGGGCGGGTATAGTTTCTGGATCCACATCAGGGCTTCCTCGCGTAGAGTTGTGACTTCGTAGTGTGTTCCCATCTCGAGTAGAGTCTCGAGGGTACGTATATCGTCTAGAAGTGAGTCGCCTCTGTAGAAACGCAGACGTCAGTGAAGGCAGATGACCCGAGAGCAAAAGTACGCACCGATCGAACCCCATCATCCTGCGTAACATGAGCGTCACTTCTTCCGGCTCATGCGGGAGAGTGTACATGGGGCACCCATCGAAGTTCTCATAAGAATCGCCTGCTTCGAGTTTGGTTTCCATGAACATCGTGCGAAAGCGCGTAGAGTGGCGTGCGAGGAGGTTGGCATAGAGCTTGTAGTGCGTATCGCCCGCAACGAGCACGACATCTCCGTCTTCGAACCACAGGTCGGGGTTGGTAATCACGCTCGAAGACTCCGACATCGGGTACCAGCCAATAGTAAATTGCGCGCCGGGAGACACCATGATGAGAAGGAATGGGTCGGTCGTCGGGGCGTCGGAGGTGCTGGTGGTTATTGGGTACTTAAAAAGACCGATGATGGCTGCGACGCAGTACTTATACCTTCCATTGGGCCACACAAAGCCTATGCAAAGGAGACGTGGACTTCCGGAGCAGGTCAAAACGTCACGGAGCTCCAGGCTTGAAGGGGGACGGCGCTCGGTCCACAACCACAAAGCCATGCGGCAAACACCACTTGTTCAATCAATGAAAGGGTATTGATCCATTCCTACAGCAGCGTACTTGGATTTAAGTTCGTCCCGTCATATCGTCCTCCACCCGACCCATATCGCATATCTCGGCCCAAGGAGACATTCAGCGCCCTCCCCGTTCACGCTATACAACTTCCAACCCTCCTCTTCGCGTCCGAGCCACCCCCCCATGAACTCGCGCATGACGTCCTCGGATCTCAGCTCAGAGACAACCAGAGCTATCGTGCGGTTCGGAGTACATAGCTGCGAGATCATGCTGAGCAGCGGTGGGACGAGCGAGGGGTTGTAGATGCAGTCGACGGCGAGGATGAGGTCCAGTGGCTCGCGGAGGACGTCATCGGATAGCTGTCGGGAGGCGGGTAGCGTCCAGTCGAGGGCATGTGCAGATATGTTGCGCTTGGCATTGTCCATGTTTTTGTGCAGGAGCGGCACGAGCGCTGGAATGTCTGTCGCGGTATACTGCGCGAAGAGCGGACCAAGCGCTGTACCAAGGAGACCGGTCCCTGCTCTACAGTTCTTTATGAGCATGGTCGCAAGGCAGAGGAAGAAATGTGGTGCTAACCCCAGCTCAACCACGCGCGCGGAAGCCAATTGCGGGACATCGAACAGCGAGTCCGGGTACGGGAAGTACCGCTGTTGCAACACAAATGTCGCGAAGTCGACGCTTCACACGGACTAGACTCGTCGAGGATTCCACATTGGCAATGCAGCAGAGGCACACCTCGCTTGCCACAGCACGCTTCCAGTATCGCCCGCCCGGCTCCTCAACGCCGTCTTATCCTGCCACAGCTCCCACTCGCAGACCATATGCGATATCATCGCCTTCCTCTTCTTTCGGGCGCCGCGCGATATGCCACTCGAAACAGTATCCGGCTCTGCGGGTGCTCGAGGTTTGATCTCCAAACGTACGGGTAGCCTGTCGTGGGCCGAGTCTACGAACCCGAGGCCGTGGAAGTGCGTCGCGTCGTTGTCGTCCGTGGATTTTACTGCTGCTAATCGCGTATAAAGCAGAAAGATTTCTTCATCGGCATCTGTGATCTCGGACGCGTAAGGCGGCAGGCGAAGTATCTGCCCCGGAGGCGTCAATGACATAGTGTAAAGTAGGTAGATGATGGTCAGAGGCAGATACGGCTTGGGCGCGTCTTCGAAGAAGCCTCTCACGGCGGCAGAAACCCTAACCTGAGTGCTCGACACATATGATCGCTTATAGATCAACGCGAACCAAGTCCGAAAGTGGTGTTTCATTGTTAAGACAGAGCGATAGTGTAGCAGATGATAGCGAGTACAGTAGATGTGGCAACAACAGGGTGTGCAGAGGAAAGCGGGACGAGGACAGCGACAACTTGAGAACAATCGTATGCAAAATGATAACCCAGGAGATAGCTGCTCAAAAGACGCGGAACGGGAGTATGAAGGAACATATAGTACAGCTACCAGTCGTCATCAGTGGGAGGAAGGGGTTTTGTGCCGCCGTGTGTACGACGCCACCAACATGTCTTCGAGTGTTTGCACTTACTGCGCAGTTTATCAGTACATCAAGTCGGCAGGATGATGAGGAAGTCAGACGTACGAGCATTTTCGACTTGCTGATTCGGGTGGCACACCCTTCGCAGGACGCTCTCCCCGCCACCACTGGAGTACATCATCGAGGTATGACTCTAGCGCCTCAGCCGAGTACTGATAGACGAAGTCGGGTCGGACGCGACGGTCCTTTTTGCGGGGTTCGTACGAAATACGGAGAGCAGAATCGACGAACAAGTTCTTCACCTGCGCCCGGCGGCGAAAGAACTCGTCAACGAGATCATTCAGAGTCCTCGTGTTGTCCAACCGAATGAACTGGTCCGCATGCTTCACGAACTGCAAGGTCAGCGGCCGGTCCCCGTCTATACCCAGCTTCTCCCAGATAGGCTCGAAAGAGTAGTCCGGCGAGAAGAGGTCGACGAGGAGCTTGTAGTAGCACATCAGCATAATGCCGGTTCTGGATGTTGCGTCAGTCTCAGGCATACCCAACCAAGAAGTGAGTGTCCGTACTTCTTCTCGGTGAAGTTGTTCGGCTCGTAAGTCTCTGGATACGGCCTGCGCTTCCAGATAGTGAGGATTGTGCGCTGGGCCTCATCGACACAGTCCTCCTTCTTGCGCTCATCGGACGCTGGCTCTGGCTTGACGGGGTTTAGTGCGACTTTAACGTCCCCAGATCCCAGTCTGACGTCTTCAGGCTTTAGTTTGACCTCCACCGATTCCAACTTGACGTCCACAGGCTCTAGTTGAACTTCAATATGCCGGAGAAGACGTCTAGGAGAAGGGGGTTCTAGTTTGACGGACGCTTCATCACGGGGAGGTTGGACCTTGGGCTTGTACTTGATAGACCGGATATCCGTGAACTCAACGCCCTGTGGCTCCTCCTTCAAATGCTCTAGCACGACTTCGTCGGCGGCCGGGGTGTTTAGGCGTGAAGACGGAGGTGTTGCGTAAGATAGTTCCCTTGGGTCGTCGATGGTCTGTGTGACTCCGTCCTGCAGGAAGATACAGTCAGTCCCGTGGATGTACATCGTCAAGGTAGGTCGCACATACAGGCTTTCCGGTTACCACGAAGCCGTTGATCATTCCAAAGATGTCCATGCCGTTCTAAGGGATCATTAGAACACTCAATACGGTGTGCAAGCTCACTCACGCATTGGCCGTATGTGCTTAACCTATCCATACACAAGATCTCTTTCACGAGCCTAGCAAACCTTCAGCGAAGCTCGACGTTCGGTGAGTGGCAGCCTACCGTCTTGCTGCGTCGTCCTCGTTGCTGTACGCGGGAATCTCTTCGACCGTCGAGGGTTCAGGTTCCGGAGATGGCCTATACTATCCGCGCTTGAGCTCTCCACCGTTTCCGCGTGCCACAGCTGTGCGTACCTGGAGGCGCTTCATAAAGGCAGCCGTCGCAGAGCCACCCGCACGTTCAGACTTGTCGAAGTCGTCAAGTGTCGTCTGCGTCCCCCTCTCCGGCTCCTTCTCCAGTCTTCGCTTCTTCCGCGGATGCTCCTCCTGTACATCCTCTTTCTCCTTGTTCTTCTCATTTCTCGCGGCAAGATGGTCGTACGCCGTCTGGAATTCACACCTCGCATACAAGTCTCAGTCACAGCACGAAGTGAGCTGGCAAGGGGACACACCAAGATGGTCCGGCAATATCGTGCACGGTGAGGTATCCCTGGTACGCGCGAAACGTATCGTAAGGACTCCGAGCGAGCTCCCCGTCAGCGAGCGGTTCCGGCGCACCACCCTCCTCTATCTGATGAAGATAGTTCGCGCCACCAGCCTGTCCGCGTATACGAGTAGTCTTATCGACCCACTCAAGCTCCTTGGGCGTGAACTCGAAGCTCAGGTCGTACGCGTCGAAGCCATCGCTCTCGGGTCGGGGATTGACGATGGTCTGAGAAGAGCTGGGTAAGGTGTCATCGTTGAAGACAGACTCGTCTTCGTCCACGACTATATCCGGGACTGATAAATGATTTGTAGCGGCCCCAGTGCCCGCATGGGCCATGGTGGGGTCGGACAAGACGCGTTGATTGCAGTCGCGGATCACATGCGCGTTGTTGACCAGTGTTTATGGCGCGACGCGTTACATTGAACGTCGGTGAACTCGTCCTGCATCCTAGCGGCGCAAGCGCCCGGTCCCTGACGTATGTTCATATATATCAATGTACGCATACTGCTATAGCGGATGCGCTAGGCAGACATTCTTCAGAATAATGTATCCACGGGCAGATCTCTGCGACGAGTATGCGAAAGTGACATCGACAAGTTGTCGATCTTCGACTGCACATTCAGTGCCTATCTGGGGCAATCTATCATACCACTCTAAGTAAAGTAGGAGTGATGAAGGGGGCATTTTCCTATTATTAGGTGTCAGGAGGGTCAAAAGCAATAAGTAGCTGGTGCAAGGGCCGCCCAGCCCACTACTATCACAGCCACTAAGTACGATCTAAGTAGGTATCCGCTGTAACCTGGTGAAGACTAGTAGATTGAGAGTCATATGCAAAGTGCTGCTGTACAATGCTTTCAAGACAAACGAACCGTAGGCTCGCGTTAGGACAGCCCGACGCCGCGGTTCGGTCGTGGGAAGGATCCCCGAGGCTGACCAGAGGCAGCAGAGCACGTAGCGCGCGGGTCTGCACTCCTGCAGAGTCGCAAGGGCTCACATAACATGTAAGCGTAGCATGTGAGGGACCTCTCTGTGAACATACACGAGAGAAAGGGCGCGAGGGCGTCGAACGGCATCAATCACCGAGCTGCTACAAGGCATACAACGCGCGGTACAACGAAGCACTTGGGACGGTGCCCAACGGTCGTTCCAAGTCGCTGAAATCGGCCGCGCTCTTTGATTGCAGCAGTCCGGGACGTTGTCGCTGGAACGAAGAAAGCTCGACGCCGGGCCACGACACCGCATCGCCGTCCGCGGCAAGTCCCGAGCGGTCACGGGCAGTTCGAGTTGCGAGCAGTCGCTCTCCTGCAGTACTACGACGAGTACCCCAGAACTGCCAAAGGCTCCACAGCTGCTCCACACGCTATACCTAGACGAGGCCAACAAGAGAGCGACGGAGACAAAAATCGCTCGGAATGGCAGTCGGCGTGACCGAGGGCCAATCATCGGCGCGTATTAGGGATCGTGGGGAAGTCACCAAGACAGTTTGCGGGGGGGTCGCCGGGAGCGCAGGACCCTTTGTATTTCGCTAAAGCTCAATACGTCAGGGAAAGCTTGTTTGGATACGCGTACAATCTCTCTATACCCGCTACGCATGGTATAGCAGACGAGATACGCCGCAGCCTGGATAATCATCCCTAAGGCTGTCCACTATAGTGCATGAGGTCTTCCTTGGTGAGCCATTTTGGGGTGTAAAAAGCAACCCTGTGCAGTCTGGGCTTATGTACCTGGTGAAATTACCGTCTTTTGCTTGTGGTAGACATACCAGCACGGAGCGCAGGGCGACCACCTACATTCGGGCAAGATCACAGTGAATACTCTGCTTTCGCTACTACCTATATATGTGTACTAACTAAGACATTTATAACAACGTCGGTGGTGAAACGGTTATCATCCTTGCCTTCCATTGGAAGCTAAGCAAGGGGCCCGGGTTCGACTCCCGGCCGACGTACATTTTACATCGTTCGCGCTTGCAATATATTTATATGTATCCGGTTATCTTTTTCCAATATTCTGTCTAGCCGGAAATGTGCATCCTCTCCACGAGCAGCGCCGCAGCAACGAGGTCGGAATTTAATCGATAGGGAGGTGATGGAACGCGGACTGTCGGGGGAAGCCGGACGAGAAGCGCGACTGGCCTCTAGTTGCGCGCGCAACCCAAACCACCATATCCACCTGTTCCTCGACCGACGATGCTCGCCGCCCGCGCCTCCTCCTCTGCGCGCGCCGCCGCGACTGCCGGCTTTGGCCGCCGTGCGGCCTCCGGCATCGCGCTCAAGTACGCCAACGCCGCGTACAATGCCGCGCTGGCCAAGTCGCCGCAGACGCTCACCAAGGTCCAAGCCGAGCTGGCCGCCATCTCTTCCTCGCTTTCTTCCACTCCCGAGCTCGCCTCTTTCGTTGCAAACCCCACCCTCTCGCTTGCCGAGCGCAAGGAGGGCCTCCCGAAGCTCTTCGCCACGGCCGAGAAGAAGGAGCCGTTGAGCGACGTCACGAAGAACCTCTTCTTGGTCCTGAGCGAGAACGGCCGTCTGGGAGAGGCGTCGGGTGTCATCGAGGGCTTCGATGAACTCGTGGCGAAGTACAAGGGCGAGCTCAACGTCACCGTCACCAGCGCTTCTCCCTTGCCGAAGGACGTCCTTACCAAGCTCGAGACCACCCTCAAGCAGAGTCAGACGGCTCAGCAGGCGAAGAGCTTGAAGCTCACCAACAAGGTACGTTTATCTACCGTATCAGAGATTGTAGACTTGCTAATCTAATCATACAGGTCAACCCGTCCGTGCTTGGTGGTCTCGTCGTTGACTTCGGCGAGAAGACGATTGACATGAGCGTCTCGTCACGCATCAGCAAGCTCAACAATCTCCTCTCCCGTATGTTTTTTTTTGCATGTTGTATCACTTCCATGAGCTTACATATACTACAGAGTCTGTCTGAGTGTTGTCAAGCTGCCGGTAGTCGGAGTAGTAGATGCTGGAGTATAAAATCTAACTTCTCTAAACTTCTGTTGTGATGCGTTCATTGGCACCAGAACGCCTGTGGGAGCCGTCTGAACATGTGCTCCAACTCTACAACAGGCGTTTCCCTTCAAAACAACATGGCCAGCTAGTTCCATGCGGAAGCTTGTCCCAGTCTATCTCCAACCGCCCCCCATAGATCACAGATCGGCACTGTGGGTGTGTTAACGTCTTGCGATGTTCCTCGCTGATCCAAAGTAACAATTCTCCTCGAGAGCCGCGAATCCATCCGTCGTCGTCGAGACGAATTTTGTCCCACCCTTCTGAGCTACAATGTGGAGGATGAGAGTCAAGCTCCAGATCCCACAGTTGGACCGCTCCGTAGTCGGTGGTGCAAAGAACCTGGTTCGGACACTTGGGGGACGCGCTGGCGATGGCTCGGACGGGTTGAAGGACTTCAATTCGGCGCAAAGGTTGTCTCGCGATCGCGTCCCAAACACGCATTGTGCGGTCTGCAGAGCCAGACACGGCCCGTGTACCATCATCCGAGAAGACAATGGAGGTTACGGGCCCTTCGTGTCCATGCGATTGCATGACAATAGTGCTTGAGCTAACGTCCCAGAGGCAGACTGTACCGTCACTCGTTCCAAAGATACCTTGTTCTAGACGGAAGGCGATGCAGTTCACTAGGCCTAGGCCAACGGTGTGCGCTCGAATAGACGAGAATGCCGCGACACTAGCGTCAACGTTCCATACAAACACTGTACCCATCGGGTGTCCAGTCGCAAGGAGCCGTCCGTCCTCCGAAAAAGTCATGCTGTGTACATGCAAGCTAGACAGAACTCTGCTGTATGAGCCATGTTTATGTTTCCACCTGAGCCGACGTTCTTGCGTGTCCCACATCCAGAGTTGTTCATCATGCAGCGCAAGAGCAAGCACGCCATTCTGTTCGCAGAACGCCATGCAGTCGACCTCTGCAGGAGAGACGCCTCTAGGAGTGATATTATAATCCTTCCCAGGAAGTGATTCACCCCCCGAGATATCATAACATCGTATGGAATCCTCAAGAATGTATGCGACATAGGTGCCCCCTGTCGGAGCCGCGACGTATCTGCAAGACGGTGAAACAAATCCTGTGAAGGATGAATTTGAAAGGTTCCAATACGGCGCCTCCCGATCATACGTTTCGTAGGCGTAAAATCCACCCTCTGTTATCACTACCCTATATGCGTTGCCGCGCGAGAACACGGCGCGAAGTGGCAGGAGGCTATAGCACGCATCATTGCTCAGCCACGGTAGGTCGAGGAAAGTCTCGGATGCATGGCGTCGTACGCTATCAGTCCCATGGCCGTAAAATGGGGATGCTGATAAGTAAATATGAGGAGCACTCTGTGCGATTGCTGGGGAGAACCGCTCAGTGAAGCCGATCAACTCGTCCAGCAATCGAAGCCAGTCGTCATCAGGAGATAGCGAAAGGGATCGGGCAGTTTGAAGTATGTCCGTCGCCCTGTCTACCAGTCCCATTGCGCTCAATGCTTCCAGCCAGAATAAGAATTCATGGCCCTCTAGGATACGATGAAGTGCAATAGTCCGGTCGGGATGACGGAGCTCGCTCTTCATCACCGCCGTTATGTGATGCGCCCAATACAGACATGCATAGTGTAGTGCGTCATGGATACTCGTAAGCCCCTGCTTCGTATTGGGGTGGTGCGACGAAAAAGCCCCCGACATGTTGAAGTGGAGGTTGGACTGCAGCGTCTCGATGCATGCGTTGGCCAGAACCAGATGACTCTTCGAAACGGGTTGCCGCATCCTTTCCGGTGCGCGCTCGGCGGTGTTCAAGAAGTCACTGAAAGACGCGTGGAATGTGGACAGTACACCGGCGTCGTCGCGGACGGGCACATAAATCACGGCATACAGGCGGTTCAAGGACGCTCTCAAGTGAGAGGGCGGAATCTTGAGCAGAGATCCAAGCCCATCCATGGTCATGGGCTCGCGGTATGTCACCACGGTTGCAATGATCTGACACGATAGATCGATCTCTTCTTGTTCATATTCAGTTGGGTCTAGAGCCTCTTCCAGGATCAGAGTATAGATGTCATCAAGAGGTTGGTACATGGTTCGACCGGCGGTAACGATCGTGCCTGTAAGCTTCGGGAGACGTAGCAAAGGATCCCTGCGTAGATATTGCAAGGCTGTAAATGCGTAGATGAACAATTTCCCCGACAGCCGGGTCAGGGCATCTATGTCTGCTTTGCGCGGCCATTTGAGTGGGAAAAATGGTTCCCGCATAGAGCGAAGACCGTGGGAAAGATACAGCGAGATATCCGCTGCGACAATGTCTTGCTCGATGTCGTGCAGACGTAGAACGTGGCCCAAAGCAGGGTCTAAATGTTCGAGCTGCCGCCGTATGTGCGGCTCCGGTCGCGAGGTGACAAAGAACTTCACAGGCATCATAGCGGATAATCTGACCAAACGTGAGAGTAGATAACCCGTGGCATCCTCGTCTGAACACTCATCGAGCGCGTCGATGACCAGAACAAGCATACGGGAGTCCTTTCCAAAAGTTGACAAGGGATGTGCCAGCAGCCATTCGAGTTGCAGTGAGAGGTTCCAGTGACTGGAGAAAGGTTCGTCGTGAAGTTTGGCCAGCAATGCCTTACTGAAACCTGGATGACGGGAGGCCATTGAAGCGGCGAGTGTGGGGATGATCCGCTGAGCGTCACCTTCTTCTACTGAGCCACCGCGTGAACAGAAGAAGCTGCCGCCTAAGCGTTGCTCCCGCTTCAGGCATTGACCGAACGAGCGCGCGATGGCTGACTTTCCGGTCCCCGCCATGCCATTCAGCCAGTATATTCGCGGTGCAGCTTGGTCGTGTGCCCAGGCCTTCAATCCTTTCAAGATCGCGACACGGGTGCCCCTCATACATCCCTCAGCGCTCTGAGCATCGATATCGGCACGCCTGACGGGCGATAGTTTCTCGAAGGAGTCTTCGGAATCTCAGTGGCAGTACGTAGTATAAGGAAGCAAGGCCGCGTACCGGAAGTGTCGAACCGTTCGCGCTGTTCTCGCTAAGATAGGGCATCAGCGAAGCGCGGATTACCGGCTAAGAATAGCTTACCTCGGAACGCAAGAGCGCCATGATGTCCCCTATGTGAGGTCAGGATTCGGTTGCACAGCACATCTGATGACCTCAACTTACTCTGCCCACGAATCAGTGTACCTATTCCGCGCCTCATGATACCACCAGCAGCAGCGTCTTGTGTATGATCTTTCTCGGCGGTCAGCAGATATACCGTGCAATGAGCAGGCGGGATCCATACGTCGATTCAGTTGCTGAAACTCGGATAACAGCCTATTGGTGATCTCCGTATTCTTCGTCCCGACTTCGCGGATATGTGATGTCTCGACGCGAAGCTCGCTGACGATGGCTCGTACTTCCAAGTTGGTCAATGCACGAAGGCGTTGCAGCTCTCCTTGTATCCCCTGATCCTTAAGGAGTGCTTTCCCGTATAATGCTAGGTCACATGTTAGGTCGACAATCTGTAGAGGCTCATATCAGACTCGCCAAGTCGTCCGAGCCACGGGCTCTTGGATACAAGCTTTGTTGCTCGGTTCACAACGTTGAGCAGATGCGCAAGGATAGTGATAGCAATTGTCCTAGAGGCGGGGCCGAGGGATGCGGGGACTTGTAGCCGATGGCGAAGGCTTGCCATGAAGCCATTCAGCTCCTCGAAAAGAACGATGAGCGCCTCACAGTATGCGCTTACTCCTTTAGTCGCCTATGAGGGATGAATCAGCCGAAGAACTTCCCAGGTGGCGCGATCGAGAGATCAGACCTGCAACAGAACGGTGAAGGCTGCGAACACCGCCTTTCCGCCGGGTACTTGTGGCTATGCTGACATCAGGACTGTGATAGAGATAGAGCGTGAATGATTGAGGGACGTACAAACGACGTGGCTGTCTCTGCCACAACGTCACTGAAGAGTAGAAGCACCTCGATGGTTGGCTTCAAGTACTTGTTTCTCAACTTGTCCCAGGCGGTATTATTGCCTCCAAAGCGTTCAAAAGACTCCATCGTTTCGTCAAGAACGAGACAGACAGCTTCGGAATCATTGCAGAGTTCCATGCGTCGAAGCAGGGATTGCCAACTTGAATTGGACGGGACCCCGCTTGCGCTTTGCTCACACCTACGGAGGGCTTCGTACCAGATGCTCTGGAAGGCGTCCTTTGAGCTAGTGGCAGCTTTCTCTGCGTCCAGACTAGAGTCCTGCTGATCGTCGTAGTTGGCGTTGGTGATGGAAAACGACGCCATAGAAGCAAGTATGCGAGGTTGAAGCAGTATATGGAGCAGGAGCAGAGCAAAGTAGAGTGGACGTGCGGTCAAAGAAGGAGGTAATTGTGAGCCAAACACAATCGCTTCTTATGCTAGCCAAACACTGCCTTCATCAGCGTTCGTGTGTTTTGTTATCCCCCCAGACTTGGGGAAAGGATGCCACTTCCGTATCGACGTTTGCCGGAAGGAACAGTCGGATCGGGAGGCTATGTCAGGCACCACATGGACCATACATTTCCCCACAGCGTACGCTAGATATCTGTCGTTTCATAGGAGTACCTTGAAATAACGTAGGTTATCATCATCTGGAACCACCAATGGTGGTCTAGAAGAGAGTGACGAGGACTCGATGCGTGCGTAAATCCTCATGAGAACGTACACCGGCAACGGCCGGATCCGTGTCGCGGCGGGCGATTGTCTGAGTCGTTCACGTCCACGAAGTCGTCGAGCTATCGGTATGCTGTGCGTACCTCAGCGTGTAAATCGAAGACACAGAGACGGGTAAGTATCATGGAATCAGCACATGGTGCCTAGAACTCTCCCACAACAACACTTCTCCGCGCTGCGCGCCATAGGCGGCGCTTGAACAGCGCCGCGCCACAGTGAACAGCTCGGGAAGCGTAGAAGACTACTATTATGGACATATGAGTATATCCGCTATACATTTTCTTTCACAGAGTAGCTATCTCATTAATACCTGGGCAGCTCATGATCTGTTGTGTGGATGCCCATATTGTCTATATACTTGTACCACAGCCTGAGCGGTTACGAACTTCAAGCAATCGCATGCGGTTTACATTCATATTCAGTCGAGGTACTATGTTCATGAAGAGAGAATAACTGAGATCGCATGACTATGCGGTGACCAGGGAGCTGCCGCGTATACCTGACTGAAGGAGGTCGAAGCGCGTTTGATTGAGTAGAGGCGCGTCTCGGTCCATCCCACCATCGTCCCCATCTCGACATCGCATTCACTCCGCCACGTTCCTGCTCACTCGCGCCGACTTTCTTGACGCTCACATATCTAGGCCTCGGTGGCGCGTAGAGACGCGATCATATCCTGATCATGCGCCGCGGCGCAGGCTCTCCGTCGCCCGAGCGCGAGCGTGCTCGGAAACGGCCGCGGTATACGGCGCGAGTCGAAGTCGACTCGGACGAGGAGGATATCGTTGTGCTGCCTCCGCAAGGCGTCATGCAAGGTCCAAGCAATGTGCCAGCTGGTCTCGACCCCTTCGGTCAGGCAGCGAAGAGGACGAAGAAGCGGTCGCTCGGGGGCAGTGTCCATCCTGTATCTGCGAGTGCGCCCGGTCCGTCCAGTACGTGTACTTGTCATGACGAGTGTTAGAGCTGTACTGATATTTCCTTAGGATCCACGCAGAAGCAGCGGACTGCACATCCTGCGCCGCGTGCGTCAAATGCAGGAGGACAAGGTGTGCATAGTCGCTTTCGCACATTGTCATATTTCTCACAGGCTTGATACAGGCGTTGCAATGGACAAGCCGATAGAGATATCCTCAGACGAGGAGACTGCGCAGCGCAACCAGCCCGCGTCCCAACCAGCGCGTGCTCGACCTCAACCTGCGGCTGCGCGCGCGCCACCCGCGAGCCAGCCTGCGAGAGCGCGCCAGAACGCCCAGAACGCTTCCACACCGATAGCCACACGGAGTCCACATGGCAGAGGTATACTCGTGGAGAACTTTTATTCCGGGCCGCCCCGGCAGAAGAAGGCGAGTCGAAGGAATGCGAGAGCAGCCCAGCTCACTGCGGGGACTGCCATTGCAGGTTCAGGCGGAAGTGCAGGAGGAAGCGCTCGTGCTGGCGGTAGCAAGCCTGCCAATGCGAAGACGCGTGCCAATGTCAATACGGGCGCCAATCGGAGTAGGAATCGGCGGGCTTCTACAGGCGAACGCTCGTCGAGCGCCACACCACCCCTCACCATCAGCCAACCGCGGCGCAAATCACCTCCGCGTCCACCACCAACGGCTGCGGGCACGAAGGACGATGTTATCAATCTTCTGTCCTCAGACGACGAACCGTCTCCCGCTCGGACTCAGCAGTCAAGACCACAGCGGAATAAGGCGCCGGTCAATCATATCAGCGACGACGAAATTGATTTCATGTCGCCTGCTCGACGACCCAGTAATCACTCCAGCTCCGACATCGAAATTCTCAGTCCAAAGCCAAGTCGACCTGCGCCTGCAGAACCGGAACCTGACCCCACTGAGGATCCGTTAGATATACCATTCCCTGATGACAACTTTCCGCCGCCTCCGTCTCCGCCCCATGTCCCTTCCCCTCGTATCCGTTCGCCTCCTCGTGCGGCACCCGAGAAGGCCCCTTCTGTGTCTACTGCTGCTCCAATTCCGCCTGCTGTCGCCGCTCCGTCTACTGTTTCCGAGGGCTCATCGGCGAACTGGAAGACTGCTCCTACTCCGATCGCCAAACCCTCTCGACCCGCTCGTGATGCTCAACCTTTACCACCGGCTCCCCAACCGGCTCAGGTAGCAACAACCTCTCAATCGCCCGCGAAGGCGACGCCGCCACCTGCGCCGCCGCCTGCTCGAGAGGCTATACCCCCGCTAGAGTCTTCACGTCCCGCACGAACTCCGACGCCACCCTCTCGCTCTCGCGCTGCCTCACATGACTCAATTGAGGATATGTACGCGGAGCCCAATCCATCTGCCTCGAACAGGCGGTTACTTGATTCATCACCACCGCCGCCGCCTCGTTCACCGACTCCAGTCCGTGTACCATCACCTGCTCCAGTGCAGACTCAATCCGCGCAAACACGCCCTGCGCCATTCCAGCGAGTTGCCCCGCGCCCCGTCACCAAGTCGAAACTCAAATTTCGACCTATTGGACCTACACAATCTACGAGTACCCATGTCAATACGAAGATCACAGTCGGAACGCCAGAGCCGGAGCCGAAGAAGCAACCGCCCTCTATCGCGCCCGAGGCTCCTGTACAAGCGGTGGCACCTTCTCAGCCTGTGCCACAGCCGACCCAGCGCTCGCCAGTTATGCCCCTACAGTTCCCATCATCCGTCAACGAACGTCCACCACCTCCGTCTACGCCTGTATCTCCGATCAAATCCGCGTCAGCGTCTCCGAGTAAGCAAGCGCCGAGACCGGTGGGCGCGGCTGCTACTCTCCCCATCACGAGTAGGACAGAAGTGCCACCTGCGCCACCACGTCGTGCGGCGTCTATCGCGGCATGGACGACGCTTCCTCAAGAAGGCGATAGTCAGGAGACGGACAAGGACAAGCTTGGCTACATCGAAGAGCCGAAGGAGGAAGAGGAAGAGGATGAGTGGATGGATGAGCTGAGGGCGAGCTCGCCCGAGCCTGGTGCCGTGCCGCCACCAGTCGTCAAGAAGCGCGGTCGGCCACGGAAGAAGGCTGCACACGGAGAGGGCGCGAAGGGCGCGAAGGCGATGGCTGGGAAGGCGCCAATCACTGTGCCTGCCTCTCAGCCTTTGGCGAGTCCGTTGGTGCTCAGACCTCCTCAGGCTGGACCGGCATCGCAACCTGCACCTTCATCTGCGCCCTTGAAGCTTAGGGCGCCTATAGTCAATCCATACTCGCAGCCGGCCTGGCGACCTTCGAAGGCACCCGTCGATGCACCCCCGCAATCTCTAGCTTCGCCATTCAAGACACCCGCTCCCAAGCCCGTAGAGACGCCTTTGGAGGATGCGGAGATGCGCTCTGCCTCCCCATCTGTGTCGGCGCCGACGTACGTCGAGGTTCGGAACCGCGAAAGGAGTGGGTCGGTGTCGTTAAGAGTTGGAGTGGAAGAAGGTATCCCCGACGGTGGTCCGCCGCTTGTGCTTAGGATGCCCAGTATTGAACCGAGGGCGACACCAACACAAGAGCCAGTCATTGGTGGTACCAGTCAAGCTGCAGCAGCTGCTAATGCTGCACACAAGTCAGTCGATGAGACTGTTGCGCCGCCGCCGAAGGTTGCCGAAGCTGCAGTCTCCGCTGCGCGAAAGGCACCAGCGACGCCTCAGGCGGCGGGCCCTGTCTCTAAGCCTGCAGCATCTCAGCAACAGCCTGTCGCGTCTCCGGCGCCCGTTCAGCCTACACCCGCATCATCTCTGGTCGCACCACAACCTGTGCTCGCAACACCGGCGAAGCCTGCAGCTGTACCCGTCTTGGCTGATCCATCTACGTCAATGCCGCCTCCGTCGACCCCCGTCAACCGGACCAACTCTCTAACGAGACTTATGCAAGCACGCGCCGGCAGACCGATTGGTTCTACACCCAGCAAGTTGAACATGCGCCGGGTCTCCGATGACCGGCCGAGGGATGAGCAAGATCATGTGCCGAGCCAGACCTCGATTTCGGGGCTTCCTGGTATGTTTTCATCCAGGGATATCAAGCTACAGATGCTGATTGCTGTGGAATTTAGTGAGCCAAAGCCCCTCTATCAGCCCACCAGTCTCTCGAGCTGGAAAGGTCGCTACTGGTGCTGGTGCTGTGACTCAACCCGAGACTCCTTCCAGGGCAGCAGCCGCGAATACGTCTGTTCCTCAAGCGCTCCCCGCTCGTGCCTTGAGCAAGTCTTACGGCGACAGACCTGCTAGTTCTAATGAGGCTGCATCCCAAGATTACACTCGTCAAGAGCCGCCAGCCACGCCAGCACCTACCGCACCTACGAGTACAGCATCAGCCGCCAGCGTTGATACTGCACCGCCTCCGCGCCCAAATCCGCGAATCTCGACGAAGATCGCGCAGACACAAGCTGGACCGTCGTCCGCGCCCGCAGCACATGGCTCATCTGGGTCGCAGAAGAGAAGGGTTACGTGGGACGATGTCAGCGAAGCGAAACGCGTGAAGCACACGGCTTCAAGTTCCAGTTTAGCGACCGCTACGGCTTCGCCCACTACGTCTGTGCCCACTTCACCTACCGATTCAAGACCTGTGCAACAGCCGCCGATTGCCGCATCCGGTGCGGCAGCACCCGCAGCTCAGACGCCACAGCCGACGCCGGCGGCGGGAGTGAAGGCCAAACCGTGGATTCTTCGTTATCTAGAAGAGAGACAAACCCGTGCACCGATTAAGCCGTCGATCCCCATTGTAACTGCGTCTCCAACTGGGGCAGCTACCACGGCTCGAGCCTCCGCTTCGACCGAGCCTGCTCCTCCATTTGCGAGTCCTTCCTCTGTGCCGACTCGAGACTCTACTCGCCCTACAAGTTCGCAACCCCGTACAGTCTCGCCGACAACCTCGGCACCTGCAGCCTCCGCAGGTGTCATACCCTCCGTGCCCGCTTCCTCGAAGATCGCGGCTTCGAGTCCGGCGAAGGATCTTGCTCCCGTTGCATCCTCTGCACCTGCGAGTGCTCAACCAACTCCCGCAGCGTCATCTGTGCCGACAAAGAGCACTGCAGCGTCACGAGATGTGCAGCTTGGTCCGAACGGGGCAGCACCTGTCGCAGGCCCAAGTCGACCTTCTGCACCAGCGCAATCCTCTGGCAATGCAGACGACAGTAGCGACGAAGACCTCAATCTTCTATATCCTGCTGACGATTCGTCCCCTGCGCCGCCATCCGCACACACTGCGACACCGAGCCCGAGCCTGAGCCGTGAATCGTCTGTCGAGCAGCCGGAACCGCAACTCCGTCGTTCCCTTCGCCGGAAAGCGATGACATCCAATGCAGCAGTCTCGCGCCCTTCGTCTGGACAGCCTGCGACGCGACGTTCGCTGCGGAATGTATCATCCAAGACGACATCGAACGCTACATCAAACGCTACCTCGAAGGCGACGACGCCTGCTGAGTCGGAGCTGACCGGTACCCCGCCTGTACCCGATCTCTCGCGCGGGTCGACGGACTCTGAGGACGAGCCGATCCTCACGCCAATCTCTGAGCTCACGTACGATCCGCACAGCGGCGCCTCCATCAAGGGACCCTTCTACGACAAAGTTATCGACGGGCAGATAGCTATCACCTTGACACCCGCGCGCATCCTGCACGACAATCCTCCAGTGGTCAGATACGGGCGCGACCTCCCACATTTACTTATGGATCGGATGTGTTCTCTACCTGAGCGATCACGAGGGGACGATGTAGCGCTACTCATCCTCAAGTCCAGGATCAACGAAGAGACTTTTGACGCTGAAGAGGAGGCGCCACCGATTGATGTGCTCAATGATATCGACGACGAAGGCAAGGTTCCGCCTTGGGAGTTCTACTACACGAACGAGATGTGGCTCGGCAACGCTGTACCGCCGCCAGATCTCGAGAACTTGCGAGGCTGCTCGTGTAAGGGGAAGTGCGACCCGAAGAGCGGGACGTGTCGGTGTACAAAGATCCAGGAGAGGCGATACATGGCGGACGACAATCCTGAGAAATCCGGGTTTGTGTACGATCCAAAGACCGGGAGGCTTAAGGATGGTATCCCCGACAGCGTTCCGATATACGAATGCAACGATCTATGTGGCTGTCTGGAGGATTGCCCGAATAGGGTGTGTCTTGAGCGAGTTCACTCGAAGTGCATATTGCTGATGCCATATCATAGGTCGTACAGCGTGGACGCCAGTACCCGATCGTCATCAAGAAGACCAAACAGAAGGGCTGGGGCGTATTTGCGAATGGTCGGAGAATCCCCAAGAACTCATATGTCGGCATCTACGCCGGCGAGCTCTTGACTGACGAAGAGGCTGAGGAGCGCGCCGAGTGAGTCATTGCTGTTGTTGCCACGTCGTTCAATATGCTCATCATCTTCTGACAATAGGGTCTATGACAAATTTGGACGTACGTACTTGCTCGAGATCAAGTACTGGTACATCGGTATACCCAGGGATCTGCCGCTCGATAAACTTCCTCCGGAACAGGAAGACGCCAAGTTCGTGGTGGACGCGTATCACGCCGGTAACGTACGTTCACACCATGATATGTCTTCTGCATTCCTTAGCTGACTTGACCCTTGTGTACGTATAGTTCACGCGCTTCATGGTACGTCTACTCGTCGTTCGAGAACAAGTTCGCTGGCTAATAACCACCCGTAGAATCATTCATGTGATCCTAATTGTCGCCTCCTTCCTTGTTACATCAACGAGGCGAACGAGCGCAAGCCGCTCTTGACCTTCTGGACTACAAGGGATATCGGCGCCGAAGAGGAGCTGACGTTCTCGTACCTGGGACCACCGGACGATGACGAGGAAGAGCCGCCGGCCAAAACGAAGAAGGGCAAGGTACGTACAGTCATTGACTCGGCTGTGATGATGCTCATATTATTATAGGGCAAGGCTAAGGCCCCCAATGGAGCGGACGATGCTGTCTTCGCGAAGTGCTGCTGTGGCGCGAGGAACTGTCGCAAGGTCTTGTTTAAATGATATGATATAATCTGCTATTCCTGCTATCGAGCTTGTCGTATACGTGCTTTCGTGCTATCGCTGTCTTTATTGCTTTACCTTACCGAATCGTCTAGTATGTGTATACATCCAGATCAGATCTGCGTGGACTGTTACCGGACCCGAGAATAGGGGTTGAGTCAAGCGCGCGATCAGTCAGCGCGATTAGATCCTTTTCTTCAAATGTTCGCGCGGAGTTTGTTGCACTCACACCCTCACTTTGCACCCTCACCCCCACACTGTCAACACCCCCCATGGCTGAAATAGATGCCGAAAAGATGCAGCTGGATGGCCAGCAACTGTACACTTGCTTGTCGTGCACCATCGCCTTTCTCTCCGCCGAAGAGCAGCGTACGTTTACCGGCTACCAGTTCAATGGGTGAGGGGCTAATATTCCACAGGGCTGCACTACCGCTCGGACCACCACAGATACAATATGAAGCGTCGTGTCGCAAACCTTCCGCCCGTCAGCGTTGCACTCTTCAATCAGAAAGTTCTCGAGCGAAGGCAGGAGACCGCGGTCATGCTCTCCCCCAAGGGCCAGACCTGCGATGTTTGCAAGTACGTTTTCAGTATATTAATGCGTTGTCATGTACTGATCATGCTTCAGCAAATCTTACACGACCGAAAACGCATACCGGTCGCATGTACAGTCCAAGAAGCACAAGGAGAACGAGATCAAGGCGCTCTCTAAGCCCAAGACGGCAACCCCTGCTGAGGAAGCAGACCCAGACACCGTCCCCTCAGCCGAGCCCATCGCCTCTACCTCGACCGCACTTGAGATCATCGAAGAGACCCCCGCTCCGACCGGACCGGGGATCAGTCTGGCTATGGACGTCGACGCAACGGAGGATGAAGTGAACATGACCATCGACCAGAAGATTGCCGCCGCACGCTCTGGGCTTACCAACTCGCACTGCCTCTTCTGCTCGACCGTATCTTCTTCATTAGAAGACAACCTGACGCACATGTCCTCCGCCCACTCGTTCTTCATCCCCGACGCGGAGTATCTGGTGGATCTACCCGGCTTGCTGACATACCTCGGCGAGAAGGTTGCCGTAGGCAACGTTTGTCTGTACTGCAACGGCAAAGGCCGTGAGTTCCGTACAATCGATGCCGTGCGTAAGCATATGGTCGACAAGAGCCACTGCAAGATCGCGTACTCGACGGAGCCGGAGATGATGGAGATCGTGGATTACTACGACTTCTCGGCATCATATCCTGACGCTGAGCAGCGTGCGGCGAAGAAAGCCGCTCGTGATGAGCGTAGGAGGTTACGTGAAGAGCGTCGTGCTTCGAAGGCTCAGGAGGAGGCGGAAGAGGGTTGGGAGGAGGACGAGGATATGGACGACGCAGAGGCAGACGAAGTCATCGAAGAAGAGGCATCGGCTTCCGAGGAGTCGGAGAGCGAGTCCGAGTCTGATTCAGAGGACGATGAGCCCGAGAACCAGGTCACTTTCGGCGACACGCACTATGAGCTCGTACTGCCGAATGGCAAGCGCCTCATTCACCGCGACATGCAGCGCTACTTCAAGCAGCGCATCTCGCTCGCGCCACACCGCGGACCGCGCGGCGAGGACCCGAAGTCCGGCCAGGCGCTTGTACGCCGCCTGCTTGCGGACAAAAACTCTGCACTTGTACCACGCAAGGGTGGCTTTGGCGCATACGGACAGGGTACCGATGTCATCAAGGCGCGCAATCGCGGTGAGGCCCGTGAGGCTGGACGCCATGTGCGCGAGTTCCGCGACCAAAAGCGCAGGGAGCACTTCAAGACCCAGGTCGCTTTTCGGAACAACAACCAGAAGCATTTCCGCGACCCTCTCTTGCAGGTACGTCCATTTGTAGTCACGCGCTCTTCATGTACTGACAGATACCCTGCAGTAATTCTTCTATTGGAATCGTCTCTGTTCTGTGTATACATATAGTATGTTTGCATGTAGAGTACACTTGTAGCATTCTTGCTGTCGCCTATTACTGTTGTATAAAGGGCTTGAACCGTGTTCACTACCTGGAGAAGCGTGATACTGCATCCTCAGTCGGTTCAAGAAATATGATCTCTATCACACAGGACAGTACATGATACAGGTGAACGTGCATATACTATGGTCCCTCCACCACATCGCCGTTAACTGGCGCATCGGCTGAGTCGGCTACTGCTGGCGCCGCGGTCGTCTCCGAACCAACAACGATATCTTCTACACCCTTGTCAAGATCAACCCCGTTCATCTGAGCCGTGATAGCCTTCTCGGCGTCGATGGCCGCTTGCTCCTGCTGGCGAGTAGTTGATATGAACGTCTCGGACAGCGAGGTAACCGTCGTGAGTGCCATGTCCAACACGGTCTCTACGCGTCTACGCAGCGTCTTACTTGAGCTCTCCACGGTCTACACGACTCGTTAGCCCGAAGGTGATGAGTGATAGTGATATGTATTACGAACCATATTGGTCAGGTTTATCCTCGCGTCGGCCTCGTCGAGCGAAATGAAGATGGAAGGATCCTCGTTCTGCGCCTCCTCGCCTTGCTCCACTTCCTTCGGTTCGGTTTCGCCGTCGTCCCAGTTATGCAGCTCGACGTCGTCGCCGAAGTGCGCGGATAGGAACATGATGAGCTTCTGTATGCGCAGCATCGGGTTCTGGCTGTAGTCGAAGTCTGAGTGCGGATGAGGGTGGTCGTGGCTGTGGCTGTGGGAATGAGAGTGCGAGCCAGAGGTCACTGTGGTCGACGGTCAGTATGTGAACTACGCGATAGAGGTGTCGGATGTACACTTAGCAGACGCGGGACTCCGGTCGATATGCGTGAGGACTGCGAGTGTTGAGTCTGCGATCATGTCGTTCGCGGCGCTCGAGTCCCATTCAAGCGTCAGCTCCTGTTCGCCCGTCTTCTTCACGTCAACCACGCCCATGACCTAATGCGTATTCAGCGCAGTTCCTTGGAGCATGCGAAGGAGATGCTCACTCGGAAGGTTAGGTGACTGTCTTGGTCCACTCCCTCATCCACATTCCCGTACATGCCCTCTAGATGCCATCGGACGAGCTCCCAGCCCACCGTAAGTAAGATCTTCTGCCTCTGCGTGACGACGCATGTCGACAATCCCGCAAAGTCCCGCAGATCGCGCCCCTCAAGAAGAGTATACGAGTAGTCCTTCGCTACAAGCAGGCCCTGCAGGATATCCCCAGTTCTGGCGGGCTTGTCTGCCAGATGACCGATGGCTTTTGCGACGCGCTCTCCACGGAAAGTCAACTTGAGCGTCTCAAGGTTCCGGGGAGTGTGAACCTTGATGTCTTCATCTCTGGCCTTATACTTGGACTGTAGCGCTTGTTTCAACCTGGCCATATTGTTGGCCTCTCCATGCACAAGCACCTGCGCGGGAATCAGACCAGCCGGGGTACAAGGTAGCCATCACTACTCACAACATGCGGTGCCCCGATGAGCTCAATGAACTCAGAATTCTGTTGGTAGTCGACGTGTGCACCGAACGAGACTTCGTCGACGGACATTTTCCGCTGGATGATGTTGCCCTTGACGCCCTGTACTTCGTCGGGTTCGAGGATGATATCCTAAAGAATAGTAGTCAGCGTCATGGCTCTCAACGTACTCATTCTCACAGGGCGGGCGGGGCTTCGACTTCCGGAACGGTATTTCACAACCTGGACACGCGGATGGGGAACAAACATGGCATTGCATTCAGGTGGCTACACATCCGTACGATACATGTGGAGGGAGTAGAAAAGTTGCCCCGCCCTTCAAGGTATGCACTCACCCGCGCCAGAGTCCCTTCTACGGAGTAACCGGTGATGATCAGTCCGTTCCTGGCGTCCGGAGCCCACATCTCAAACAACTCGCGACTGGGCCCTGTCTGCATGAAACCCGGGCTAGCAAGGACGACGCAGGGTGGCCCCTCTCCGATCTTACGCTCCCAACCACGCGTCTGGGGTACGCTGGAGATGTACCTATCGTCCTAGTGAGACTTGTACCTATATAGAGACACGGGTGGGGTGCTCACTTGAAGACGAATGGGTTATCCCGCTTCGCGAAGCGAGACCGGATGTTGTTATTCATCGTGTGGATGTATGTTTGATAAACCGCCATGCACTTGCGAGCCAAGCTAGAGGCGTAGTAGATCGGGACAGTCTGAAGATCCGGGTGTTTCTTCCAGTACTCGTCAAGAATCAGTAGAAGTTCCTGGGCACGACCCAGAGCAAAAGTCGGTAGTAAGACGTGACCACCTCTTCGGATGATAGCGTGGACCAGGGTAGTAAAGCGCGCTTCCTTCTCGTCGCGAGCCTCCAGGTTGTGCACACCGAACGTGCTCTCGCAAATGAGAACGTCGGGTTTGACGGGCGGTACTTCGGCCTTCACGAGATGCCGATCCTCTTCTCGAGAGTAGTCGCCGGTGTATAATATCTTCAGGCCCGCGAGGTCCATGGAGTACATGCAAGCTCCCAATACGTGTCCGGCATGGTACGGCGTGAACGAGAAACCAGGAAATGGTGTGATAAGTTGGTGTACGGCGACAGGGATGATGGAGGATATTGACATGGACAGGTCGAGGGGTGAAATGATGGAGTCTGCAGATGTATTGCTACGCGTGTATCAGTCCCCGTCCATGTTAGGAGTCGAGAGGGCATACCTCATGCGGACGAAGTCTTGCATCATGAATTTGTGCAGAGCCTTCGTTGGATGAGTCATATATACTTTCCCTCGTCCGTCACGAAAATTGGTCTTGAAACAGGTCAGACAGGTCACACGTTGTCAAGCGTAAGCGCCACACCTTTTCGGTGATGTATGTTAATGCAGCCGCATGGTCAAGGTGAAAGCTATGTTATTTTCAACGCTAGTATCTAGCTTGCTATCGAAGATACACACTGTGTGATTAGAATCGCGTCGACAGTGCTCCAATCCAGTTCGTCGATAAATGGCAGGGAAGCCATGCCGCTATGCGCTGGATGTACACCCGTGTCCAGTACGATGGTAATGTCGCGGTACTGTAGTACACAGCATGACCTGCCAACCTCTTGGCCGGCACCAAGCATGGTGATACTGAGCGAGGGAGTGTCCGCCATGGCGGCAGGAGACAAGGAAGACGCGCGAGACACCGCGTCGCGCGCCCACTGAACTCACTCGCGAAAGCGTGTGACCTTTTTCTTCTTGCGGCCATGTCAAAGGCAAAGAAGGTATCTCGGGCGCCCGCAACGGCAACTCACCCGAATGGACGTTCGAAGGCCAAGGAGGGCGCAAAGAAGTCTATGAAGCGGGCGATGGCACGAGGGAAGGTTACACAGGCTCGTGAAGCTTTGGATCTTGAATTCATGGCATTGCGGGAGGTGCGCCATCACCTATAATCTCAATTTCGTGTAGCGTATTCAATATCTGTACAGACCAATGCCAAGCCGAGAGAAGTGAAGCAGAAAGCTGTGGTTGAGCACTCTATGGACGATCTTGCGAGCTTCATGGGTGGACTATGAAGCCTGCGAAAAAAAATCAGCCTTGGGCCGGACTCAGGTATGTGGCGCGTATTCTACTGGCACTTTTACTCATAAGCTCATAAACACTCACAAGCATCACAGCGTCAGTCATACCTCCATGGACCCTCGTACTCAAATATAGTACGCCAAGTCCACGGCGCGCCGAATGCATCCATCCGCTTTCGTCTACGCGCGCATGTGAAAAGCGCGTCGAGCGCGTCACCCGGAGCAACATCCTTTCCTCATAGCACATGCTCGTTCGTTCGACCATAACTACCACCACGTCTTGAGGGAGGATCCTATTGCTACCATTGTATCGACCCCTTGCTTCCCCTCGACATCCATATCATGTCCGACTCCGCAATCCACTCTGCGGCTGGCGCTCTTGGCGGCATCGTCGCGATGACAGCTACCTAGCAAGTTATTCAGGCTTTGCAATATATGACATGTCTAATCATCACCATAGCCCGTTGATTTTCCTGTCAACGCGAGCTGCTGTTGAGACCAAGAACGAGAATAAGGTCGGCTAGATCATTGGAGTGACCTGCTATATGCGCTCAACCCTGCTCCAGTCAACGAAACAAGCTATTGTGGATATTATCTCCCGTGAAGGTTTCCTCGGACTATACGACGGACTTAAGTCCAGTCTCCTTGGTATCGCCGTGACCAATGGGTTCGCCTATCATAAGTCCCTGTCCACTTCGGTGCATTGACATGCGTACAGAGTCTATTACTACTTCTACGAGCGCACCAAAGCAGGTATAGTCACCTCGCGTCCAGGTAGCAAGGGTCTGTCGACTCTGGAGTCTATCATTGCTGGCCTGATTGCAGGTATAATCACTCGCCGGGCTTGATATGGGCTTGTGCTCATCATCTTTATTCAGGTTCTGCGACTACCATCATCAGCAACCCAATCTGGGTTATTCAAACGTCGCAGGCGGTTCAGAGCATGACGCCTGCACCGAGTAGCGATAACCTGTTTGAGAAACCTGCGAAACCCATCACCGTCAGGAAGCGTGGATTCATTGAAACCATTCAGTACATCCTACAGACCGGCGGTATTGAAGCTTTCTGGCGTGGCATCGGACCCGCGCTTGTCCTGGTCGTCAACCCTGTCTTGCAATACACGGTGTTCGAGCAATTGAAGAACGCTCTTGTGCGCCGACGCAAGGCGAGGGGATCTGCAGGCGCGCTGACCGACTTGGACTTCTTCATCTTGGGCGCCCTCTCCAAGCTTGTCGCCACAGGTACCACTTATCCGTACATGTGAGTGACTCCAATTGTACTCCTTCATCTCACGCTGAACCTGCTTTCAGTGTCGTCAAGTCTAGGCTTCAGGCAGGCCATGAACATGCGAAGCGCTACAAGTCAGCTCTGCATGGATTGCAGACGATCATCGCGGAAGAAGGCGTCCAGGGCGTGTACAAGGGCATAGGCAACAAGGTAACGCTTGGAATCACATGCGCTTCAGGGCTATCTTACTGATAAATACTCAGCTCATCCAAAGCGTATTGACCGCTGCCATCCTCTTCGCTGGACAACGCCGCATCTTCGAGATGACCAAAGCCGTACGTCTTAATCTCGCTCCCGTGCTTCTCAGTCGTCTGACGTCGGCTTCTTTCATTCGCAGGCCCTCGCCCCGGTCGTATCGAAAGCGTGAAGCGCACAAGAGTTAAATATACGCGATAGATACCGGCATAGTAGAACCATGTATACCTATATGCATCGACTAATCAAGACAGTGTCCTTCCTTATCAACGCAAGCCACCAACCTCGACAAATATCGGTATATTCGGCCATAACGGGCAATTGATGTTGAGCACTGGGCGTTGCCGACGCGTCTCGGGCCCGACGAGCGGATGTATACGCAGCCAGCGCCGATCATCGAGAGACATGACGCGCTCAATGAACGCGAGATTCGCGCTGATCGCATTTGACGCTGTGGTCGATCGCAACAAAGACAATCGACGAGCTGTCTTCCGACAAATCTACAGAACAAGGCTCAAGCCACTCCGATTCGGCATACACAGGCACTTACGCAGATATTTGGTCCGCGCTCGGCGGTCGCACGAGGCTATGGACTGCCCTGAGCGGATTCCGGAATGCGCGCAACAAACAGATGTACTCCGAGCGGCATTTCCGACGGCGGCGGCTGTAACGGGGTACATAGGCGGCGCGTCGTTTTGGCAAGTTCTACTGGTGGAAATCAGCATTCTAAGAGAAAACAAGAAATATTGATGTTGTCGGGAGAACATCCCCATTTCACAGACACTCGGCCAGACCTTGTCACCCCTGAATCCTAAGGAGGGTTGTGCCCTTCCTTGTCCGACAGAGTCGTATTCAATAATATTACTTCGAGCGCCCTGTAGAACCGAAGTCTAGACTGTCGGACGCGAGGTACCGGTAAATGCGTGCTCGTTTAGGCCACTGCCGGCGGCCTGCAAATAGCTTCAGTGCCAGGACGAGTTTACCGACGCGCGCTTTGCATTGAAGCATCTTGCTGCGTGTAATGTGCGTGTATGCGCAAGTCACGTCCGCAGCCCATGCTTGTGAGCTTGCTCACTGCTCATGGGAGCCAGCGCGAAGCCAAGTACACCGTGAGGACCCAGGGAAGCGCAGCAATGTGCCACACCGACGTCCGTGTCGAAGGCGAAAGGCACCTTCACGCGCGTATACATGCCTTCTCTGTCTCGACTGACACGTTGTAAATGGATGAACTACAGTAACAATGCATGGTGTGCTCCAAACGAGTTGTGTGGGTGGTTTGGTCTCTAGACTTGTCAGACAGCTTGCGAGGCGCGCGCTACGCTCAGGCGCACTGCGACAGATCATATGCACTGGTATTGGGTGCTGCGATCGAAAGAATGAGGGTAGCGATTATGTTAGGCTCTGTGGTGAAGGTGACCCGCAAGGGAGGTCATATGAGCGGGCATCCATATGTAGGAATGGTGGCGTAGGCGGCCTGTGGTGGCGAGGGAACGAGAAATAGCTTGTCCCAAAGACGTCGAGGGTCAACCCGTCGAGGGGCAGAAGCAAGGAGCGGATGTATGCGCCACTTCCGCGCTTCGAGGAGTAAGGCCGCGTGGATGTCTACACGGTCATGAGTATCTCGTATACAGTGAGATTGTAACGTGCTCCGAAGCTGAGGTATAACGGCCTTTGCGTGTATAAGCGTTCGAGTTAGGTCATTGCCTGTGACGCTGAGCACTACTTCATCTCAAAGCACGTCAGAGAAGTTGAGAAGGGACTACGGCGTCGCTCTGGGAAAAGACTGGAGAGGCGAGTCGTGTTGGAAAGTACACGTAGAACTTCGCCGCCCGCTTCTGCACGGTAAAGACGCTATACCGCCGCGCCACTCGCGGTGGAAGTACCGCTACGTCGCGCGTGCCATAATCCCATAACACGCGCACGCGGGTACCTCGCGAAGCGCCCCGAGAAGAGGTTAGGAAGAAGGGAAAGAACAGGGCTTGCTCCTTCTGCCGCGATTCGGAGAAAGTACGAAGCGCGAGCCACATCTTCATCGGGACTAGGCACCTCCCACGCGTTAGAATGAAGTGGTCGTCGCACACGGTCCGGAGGCTTTATGTACAGCAGTGCTTGACTAGGTACTGCGCGCCAGAACGCCGTGTTTCTTCGAGAGGCGCGCGAGACGCGAAGGCTGAAAGTGTGTTAGGGAGTTGCATGTGATGAGGATGCTTCTCGGAAAGACATACAGACGCTGGCGAGGACGGGGGCTAGGCTTGACGACGTACGACAGGGCGTCAAGGGCTGCTGTTCGCAGGTCGCTAGCGGCGACGCCGCCATGTCAGCAGATGTAATAGTTGAAAGCAAAGACCTCGGCGTGTGAGGATACTGTGGTCGCTACAGGTCAGCCGGTGGTCCACGGACGATCGGTGGCGTCGATGGTAGATCCTTGAGATGTCGAAGAGAAGAGGGCTATTAGCAACGAGTACTGTTGCCGGCGGCATCTGCAGTGTTGTTCAGCAATGAATCGGTCAGATGAGCACGGAGAATTGAGTATATGGTAGAGCGCTGTTGATGCTAAGTGACTTCAGAAGATCGTTACGCCTCGGCGTACCGGGGTCTGTACTCGGAGGCCGATGGACCTGCGGACGACAACCATTCCGTGTCAGTGTTGGTCGTCAGCCGACTCACAGACGGCGCGCTGGGGCACCAATACACCTGTAGAGCTGTCGTTCACCGTGATGTGCGGGCGGTCATGTGAGATCAATACGGGCGCGCGCAGCCTGCTCAATTCACTCCAGCAAAACAGAAAAAGACTAGTGAGCGCGTCAAAATTGCTCAGAAATATACCACATGCTGCGGCGCGCTAGGTCAGAAGGAGATCCGGAGACTCGCTAGAGACTGTCCGAGAACAAGGAGAAAGAAAGGAGCGCGAGATGCAGAGAGAACTTCATGTGGTATAGCGAGAACGGGCGCCACAGGCCATATGCGCGCGTGGAAAGAAGAACAAAGCAAGAGATCTACCCGGCTACGAGCGCCCGAGGCTCACGAGTCACGACGCGATGCCGCTCTGAGATTTCACTGGCGGTGGCGGCACCGATGTATATGCGAATGATAGGTGAGCCTGTCTAACAGCCTGTGTGCATGATTGCCGGTAAAGTAAACGGACAAGTGGCTCTGTACCTTCTTCGAGACTCAAACTGACAAGTACTCGTACCAGAAGCTGAGAAAGCACGCAGGGTATTGCAATTTTCGTGTGAGGTGTCAGACTACATGGATGGATGTCGAGAGCTCGAGTCGCGTGCATGCGCTCGCGAAATCCTTGGGCCACAGAGCCACATGTACCACGGACAGGGGCTCTCCGTGGACCATCCATCTATTGGCCGTGGCCCATGACGCTTATACGAGCCGGACTCCACCGCGTTCCTGCCCTAAGATCTGTCTAAGCTCTTTTCGAGCGGACGACGACCCGATCCCTGATGGGATCTGTGGCTCATCTGCTGAGTCGGTGGAGTTGGGCTGCGGCCTTAACGAAAAAGAGGGGATGCACGCGATGAGGAGAGGAGAGAACAGAAAGAGGAGCGCGCGATGGTCGTGTGCACGGAAAAGAAAGATGCATCATTGGTTGAATGGCAAGGAGAAGAAAATGGATGAACGGATATGCGGATGGGCGGGCCCGAAAGGCGCTGCGTAACACGTCCTTGCGTCGCCAGGGCGCGCGGGCTCGCGCGGGTCGTCAGATCTTGCAGAACCCGCAGCGTCCGTATATGGCAGCATTCATTTAGTGCGCGCGCCCGTGAATTCAATCGCGAGTTGGTTGTTCGGGATGAAAGAAGAGACGGAGGCGCTCGCATATGGCCGATCGCGCCCGGAGGTTTTGCTTACCGGGTGCGAAGGCGTGTTGATTTACAGCAGTGGCATGAGGCATATGTTGTTTGTACGTGGATGTCTGACGCGAAGAAGCATGTAGGGTATAGAGACGGATGGGGAGGAGGCCGAGCAGGCGCGCCGATGAGATGGGCGGTGTGGGAGAGATGGGAGAGAGGGGTAAAGAGGGTGCGAGCGGATGGCCGGGGATGGATGTGGAGGAGGCGAGGATTCTGGCGAGGTCATATGGTTCTGCGCTGGTCGCGCACGTTTGCTCTGTCCGTGTCGGAAGAGCGAGGCTGTGTATTGCATGGCGAGTGGTAAAGAAGGAGTGGATGTGTAACCATGGACAAGCCCATAAAGTCGTACGTGTGGAAGAGGTCTGTCGGGGAGGGAGGGCGAGTCGGAGTCGGAAAGGAGGGATAGGGGCTGTTCGAGTCGCGTGTGGCCCAGGAAGGCCGGGTTTGTCATGTTTACGCGTTCTTGTCGTTCTGATGGGCTGGTGAGGGTGTAGGCGCTTGCGGTTGTGAGGAACGAGGCGCGGTGGGAAGCTGAGGCCGAGACGGGGGTGCCGGCCGGAAGGATTTGGAGAAATTGGCAATTGCCGGATCGTAGACGATCTGGCGGTCGCAGATCTGGGCGTGTTCAGCCTGCTGCTTCTTCTGTCATTTGCTTTGTGGATTGTGGGATGGAAGGACGGATACGTGTATAGAATGAGAATCTGTGATGGACTGTATATACTGCAGAGAACAGAAAGGGCGGAAGGAAAGGGAAAGTGGTTGTGATCGAGAGGAAGAAAAGAAATGATGGCGAGCGGGAATTGAGCGTATAGCGGGCCGGAGCCGGGAGTACTCTGCTAGCTGAGGTCGAGCTCAGCTTCTGCACGCTCTCCTCCCGCTCTCATCCTCAACATCGCGGCAATGGACTCCCTGGCTGCCCGCTCCAGCTCGGCGGACGACCTCGCCAGCGCCTGGCCTGCCGCTTCTCCCCATCATTCCCGGCCGTCGATCCTCACATCCGGCCTGCACGCGCCCTCGCCCGTCGAGCAGCGCTCTCCCGCCTCCGCCTCGCCCTGGACACACCCCGTCTCTTTGTCCGGCTCTCCCGAACTCTCAGGCTCTTCATTTCCCGTGCGCAATATTATCCGATTATTACGCGCGAGCCACACGCTAACTGCTCGTGAATATGCAGTCATCGGCAGGCGCGCAGGCTGCAGCAGGTCAGCAAGGCCACGACCTCCGCAATATATTTTCTGCCCCGCTCAACCCAGCAATGTTTGCCCAACTCGCTGCCAACGGCTTGCTCGGCCCGTCGCATTCATCAGGCTCTGGCCAGGGCGTGAGCTCGAGTGTGCCCTCTCACAGGCTACACGAGTCTCGCAGCGCCGGCACCACGCGCCACAACGGACACGGCTTCCCTTCGCCACCCATGCTCTCCAGATCCTATGCACCGGGCTTCCCGGGAAAGTCCAAGCACTCCAACTCTCTCGGGCAGCACGGCTACCCGTCCAACGACCCCCGCCATCCCATCAATACCTCTTTCGAGTTTGCGAAGCCACACTCTCGCTCTGCACAACATTCACGCAACCACTCAGGTCAGTCCCCCACGCCATCCATATTTTTGCGCCATTTTAATGTGTTCTGTAGGCTCCAGCCAGTACGAAAGTTATGGTCTCGAGTTGAGCGGCCTTCCGTCCAACGCGGGTTTGCCGCCATCACTATGGATGTCTCCGACAAGTACAGCACCATCCACGCCTTCCGTTGAGCAAGGTTATGGACCCTTCACGCCACATCCCATGAACGGCACGCTCTACGGCCACCCGTCACTCACGCCGCATCACCCTGAGTTTGACGCATCAAGCTCGGCTGCTACTAGCATACTCAGTGATGTGCTTCACGAGAATATGTTTGGTGCAGGTAGCAATGGCGGTGACCCTGCGACTGGTTTCACAAGCCCTCTCATGCCCGGTTCACCTGGCTTGCAAGACGTTCTCGGTGACACTGAAGCTCTGTCGAAGAGTGATCCTCTCAACACGCAGGTACGATTTCTTTCCTCCCTCACTCAGAAAAAATGCCACTAGCGTCATCTTCATTTTACTCTGTTCTACTCTCGGTCTAGCGCTAGTGTATACTGAAACTGTGGTCGGACACAGAATATCACGTGGCGGATGGAACAGCTCCGGATCCAGAAACAGCGTGAAGACGAGGCCCGTGCGCAGGCCGCCGCTGGTTCAGGAGACGTCAAGAACGAGCCATCCGACGACGATAATGCGCTCGGCGACTCCAGCACAGGCGGGCGTGGCCGTGCGAGGGATAAGGGCAAGACCAAGGTGTCGATCGTCGGGTTCGATGGGACGAACCAGGACGGCGATGGCGAGGACGATAACGAGTAAGAGTTTGTTTTGCCCGCCGCATGAAATAATCTGGCTGACAATGCCTCTAGCGATACGGTGCCGATGGACTGGCGCGCGATGTCTCGCTCGCGTTCGCGCGTCGGCATGGACTGGCGCCCCCTCTCGCGATCCCGCTCACGGCCGCCACCCGCCGACGCCCCAGGCTCGGCCCTCCATCCGGGCCCGTTCGCGGACCCGCTCATATCGCACTTCGACGCCCCGACTCGGCGCTTCACGGACCCGCAATCGAATGGCCGGCCGAGTTCTCCTTTTGGCGGGCATGGCGGTCTGCCCGCTTTACCCGAACATGCGCATGAAGATGTGCTCCGATACGCGTTCCCTTCACTCGATGGCGCTGGACCCGACTTCCACCTCAACCATGGCGGCCATCCCAGTAGTCTCCCAGCTGCGTATGGGCTTGGCCTTCTCCCCGCCTCCTTCGACGCGCACCACCACCACCATCATCACCATCATCAGTCCCAAGGCTTCCCCCGCCATGTCCGCAAGACCTCCTTCGACCACACCGTCTCGCGCGAGAGCATGCTCCCGCCTGCACCCGGCGGCGCGCGCCACCAGGTAGACGGGCGTCCTGCCGCACAAGGCGCGATGAAGCGCCGCGCCGATGCGCACCATGGCGACTCGCTCCTCCGCGGCGATCCCGCGAGTATCCCTGGTCCCGGCCTCTCCCTGAACCTCAACCTCGGCTCCATCCCCCGCGCCGGTCCTCCCACACCTGGCGGTCCCCGTAGCCCGTACGCGTTCGGAAGCTCGCATGGGCAACCGGGCGGATACGACGGCTTCTTCGAGCTTGGAAACAGCGAGTATGCGCCTGTCATGCCCACGAGCGACGAAGTGAGGCATCCTGCCGCATTGAGCGCTGCCGCGGCAGCAGTCGAAGCCGCGTATCGCGAGCAGGTCGCTCAGAGCGGTGGTGCGCCGGCGGACTTTGACTATGGTGTCGGAGTCGGCGTCAGCAGTTTGATGGGATTGGGACCGTATAATGGGCTCGGGATGGGTCTGGGTTTGGGTGGAAGCGTTGGTTATGGCACGGTTGACCCGGGTCAGATTATGGGTCCGCCTGCGAACGAGGCGAGTCCGAGTAGCGACGGGTGGGGCGCGCGGGCCGGCGGACAGAGTAGTTCGACGGCCTCGCCCGAGCCTGCGCCGTCCGGCCGCGTCGTGGCGGGTAGTAAGCGCGCGGGCGCGGCAAGGGGTGTACGACCCAGTGCGAGTACACCTGACCTCCGCAAAGGCGACGCGAAGGGAAGTGGGGAGAAGAGCGAGAAAGGCGAGAAGAAGGATGGAGCAGAGGTCGAGGAGCGCGAGGTGTCGATCACGGTTTGTACGAACTGTTCGACTACGAATACGCCGCTCTGGAGGAGAGATCCGGAGGGGTTGCCGTTGTGTGCGTATTCCCTTTCATTCGTCCCCCCTTCATCTGCATCCCCCTTCAATACCATGTCAATTTGACGCGAAGGGGTTGCGCACCTATCCACCCTTCACTTTTCTCCGTGCGGGGTAAAACCGAGATACTGATGGGGCCATTCCTTCCTGCAGGTAACGCGTGCGGCCTGTTTTATGTAAGTCCTTATCTCGCTACTCGTGTTCCGTGTGTGGGTGCTGATGATGCCTCTTTTTTTCGCGCCGCCGATACAGAAACTGCACGGGGTCGTGCGCCCTCTATCGCTCAAGACGGACGTGATCAAGAAGCGGTGCGTGTTTTGTGTCCCTTCCCCCTTTTATCCGTCTCGAGACCTCGCCGTGTCCCTTTATCTCTGCGCGCGGTATCAGCTGTCGCGTTCTTGGTTATCTGGGCGCGCGCGTAACGCGTTTTTTCGCTTATCTTTCGCGCCTTTCTCGCGTTTTACACGCCGCACGACCCCTTCACTTATCTCATCTCGCGGGCCCCATGAACGCCCCGTGCCCGTCGACCGGGTTGTTTATCTGGGTTCTGGTCGCATGCGTATAATGCGTGAGACGCCGTGATTACAGTCGGTTGGATACGCCCACGCATTCGAAGACGCGCTGCGGGCTTATCTTTGAGAAGACGGCGTGCTTTGGTTGTAAGCGCGCGTCTCCGTATCTTTGGTATCTCCTGTATCGCAATGCGGAGAGGGGGTGGCGTGCTATTTCACCTCGGCTGAGCGTCATACGGGCCTCGGCTTCGGGCATCGTGCTCGTCGTCAACGGCGACGAGTGATGCAGTTCACATCTTTGAACGCCGGAGTGGGCGCGCGGGTCGTTGTGGCGTGCGAGTTCGCAATATCTTTATCCGCGCATCTGTTTTGATTCGTGCGCGGAGCACGTATCATATCATATCAGGATCGTGGCTTCTCGACGCCGACTACGTTCTCGTTCTCATCTCCCATTTCTTTTTATATCCCAACGCCCTCTACCCACGTCGCTTTGATTGCTGACGCGTTTTCATCACATAGGAACCGCGCTTCGGCGGGGCAAGGCGGCCAGCGCAAGAACAGCGCTACGGGTACGTTGCAGCCTAAAGGCGCCAATGGACGGCCTAGAAGCAGCACGACGTCGAACACGCCCGCTGCGCCGGCTGGGAGCAGGCTCTCGCCTGGTCGTCAGGGCGCTGCGACCGCTGCCGCTGCTGGGTCTGGCGGAGTCGGCAGTGGGAGCACGAAGCGGCAGCGGAGGAGCTCCAAGGCTTCGATCCTTGCAGAGGCGGGGGAGGGGAGTCTGGACGGCGGCAAGGATTCGACTGTTGGGAGTGGTATCGCGACGAAGTAGAGCGGTGGTGGTGGATGGATGAGAGGAGTCGTCTCCGTGCTTTTGGCTCTCGGTCTGTGACTGATGATGATGATTCCCGACGATACGACGAATGGGTGACCGGTGTAATATTCTTTTCCATCTGTGACGGCTGTACTGTGTGTGTGTGCTCTTGCTCGGTGTCGTGCTGTGTGTTTTGTGTGCTCGTCGTGCTTGTACCTAGAAGTTATGTTTCGATCTGGACTCGGCTGTATGCAGTACTTAGTAGCCGCTAGTAGCACTACTGGTATCCCCTCCCTATTATCACCTTTACGATCCCCCATCCAATCCAATTGAAGAGCGTTGTGCGTGTAAATTGAATTTATCGTAAGGGCGCAAAGGGAATAATAAAGCCGAGGCACGGCCGACCGACTGGGCGCGAACACCCTTCTTCCATCTACCACACGCTCGCTGTCGCCGCCCCAGACCATGGCGAGCTCGAGCCGGACGCGCGCGCCGCCGTCGGCGTTCCCTGCGGGGTCGAGCCGGTCGCCGACGACGGCGACTGGCCCGCCGTTGCCGAAGCCGCTGAAGCGGGGGAGCAGCGGGCAGATGACGTTCGAGCAGGCGCTGAGGAGCGGCGGGACGGTCAATCTGAGCGAGCCGCCCGAGTTCGACGCGCTGGGGTTGTTGGACAGTCCCGGGCCGCGGCGGGCGTCGTCGGGGAGACAGCAGCCTGCGACGCCGACGGTGGTGCCGCCCACGCCGACACCGACGCGGTCGAGGGACAACACGGGCACGCTGCGGGAGCCACCGCCGACGCCGTCGACGAGCAGCTCGAGCGACGTGTTCTTCGACGCGAACGTGGGGCCTGCGAGTCCGATGAGCCCGACGATGCCCGTGAGCGCGACGGACGACGCGGACAGGGAGTACGCCACCAAGCGCCGCTCCCTCTATCGCTCCCCAGGCACCGCTTCCTCCCCAGACCTCGCCACCCTCGTCCGCAAAGCCAAGCAGCGCGGCGCACTGTTGTCGTCGAAACATCTGCATCAGAATAGTCGACAAGAGGTGCCGCCGCCGTTGCCGAGCGCGCCGAGCACGCCTGGGAGGGGAGGGCGGCCGAGCACGAGCATCAGTTCGGGCGACGGGCGGAGGCTGAGGAAGGACAGGCCGGGGACGCCCGAGCAGAGCTGGGTGATGGCCAGCCCGGCGAGCGCGACGAGCGACGGCAGCGGCGCGTTCAAGAGCATGCGCGCCAGGACAACCGCTTTCTGGGGAAAGGTCACCGGCGGCAGCGTCAGAGACCGTTCGGTATGTCATTCACAAGTTTATATAAATGTGTCTAATGAAAAGGACAGAAATCGGACGCGACGAACGCGCCTTCGCCACGCGCGTCCCCTCCACCGCCCATGCCGCCCCTCCCGCCCTCCGCCCAGCGTCCACGCACAGCTGACGTATTCAACACATCCAGTCAATCCAAGCCACTCCCTCCAGACCCGACCACCCCTCCCCGCGCGCCCTCACCAGACAACACAACCGTCCGCCCCGTACGACGACCGGGCTCGGGCCACATCAAGCGACGCAGCATGTCCGTGTCCGAGATCGATGGCTTTCTCGCCGACCAGATGCGTGACTTTGACGTCGCGCCTGCAACTTTGGATCTCAAAGTGCCTATTACGCCCGATAAGAGGGCGAGGCCGGCGCTCAGGCAGGTCGTCAGCGATCCAGAGGCGACGTCGCCACCCGTGGTCACTGTCGAGAACTCTGCGGGGAAAGAGGTCGTGGGCATGGGGTCGGCGAGCAAGGAACATGCCCAGGCCCCGCCGAGGAGTACAAGCCTCAACACACCTCCTCCACCTCGCGTACGTGGACCGCGCGAACGCCACCCACCATCCAGCGCAGGCCGTGCGGCGTCGTTTGCAGCGGCAGGCGCACTAGCTTCGCCCACGCACGTGCGTACACCATCCGGTACCACGCGTGACGCCAGTAGACTCTGGGCGCCACAAAGAGCGGCCGCCTTTAGCAGCGAGCCGAGCTTGATACCCGAGGATCCCAGCTCACCCAACCCCGGTGCAGCACCGCGGTTGGTGGCGAGCAATCAGGATTTGAGGAGGTTCCCGAGCAGTATCAAGCACGGTGGGAGAAAGGATACGGATGGGGATGAGGACGCGGTGGAGGTGGAGATCAAAGGACGGGAGGCAGCGCAGAAGTGCTGGGACGAGGATGAGAGCTTTGTTGGGAGGGATAAGATTGCAGAGTGGCTCGGTGGCCAGTGCGTATCTCTACTTTACAATACCTGTGAATGATGTATACTAATGAGTGAACTACAGCAAAGCGGTCAACAAAGTCGCCCTCCGCTTCTACATGGACAACTTCGACTTTTCCGGTCTCAGGCTCGACATGGCCTTCCGCCGCTTCTGCGCCAAACTGTATCTCAAAGCCGAGACCCAACAGGTCGACCGCATCCTGGACGAGTTCAGCCGTCGGTACTGGGAATGCAACCCCGGCAGCCTGTTCGGCAACGCAAGTGTAGTGCACGCCGTCTCGTATTCACTGTTACTCCTCAATACGGATCTGCACATTGCGGAGCTGCAGTCGAGGATGAGCAAGGCGCAGTTTGTCAGGAATACGTTGGATACGATCAGGATGCAGCTTGATGCGCCTACGCCTACTACGTCCAACTCGACTCGGAATGCGTCGACGGCACCTTCGACAGTTTCCTCTGCGAGTGGAGGCGATACTGTGCGGTCAAGGCCAAAAAGGAGTGACTCTATCACCAGCTGGAACTCGATTACTCGAGAAATGGTTGCCGGTATCTCCGCCACTGGCACGGGCACCGGCCAAGGGCGGCATAGCGCTCAGAGCAGTCTGCCGAGCTTGCCTGTGAGCAGCGCGAGCTTGCCTGGTAGTGCTGGAGCCAGTGTGCCCAGTTTACCGGCGGGGAGGAACAACGACTCCAGTGTAAGCGTGGGCACAAACACGGACAGTAAGACGCCCAGTACACTCGTCAGCTCGATGGTGTTCGATCGGGACTGGGAGAGTAACATGGAGAGCTTGCTCAAGGTATGCTCCTTCGTACTCGGTTCGCGCCCGAGTACTGACACGTCCTGCAGGATATGTACTCGGCTATCAAGTCCCAGCAGGTCCTACAGGCCATGCCGACAGACACCACCTCTCCCTACGGCGGCCCGCTCGCGCGGAATCGCTCGCTCCGCGTTCAGCCCAATGACCGTCTTACGACGCTCAAACGGGGCAGCATTCGTGGGATACAGTCTATACTGTCCAATAATGCCTCGAACTCGCCTTACGCCGATCGAGATCGCGCCGCATCGCCCGCACCGAGCTATGCGACGAGCGCGCATGGTGATCTGCTGGGCAGCACGTTGAGCTTCGTCCCGCCCGCGCTCGGGTTCGCGAGCAACCTATCCCACACCATCATCCGCGAAGCCCGAGAAGACGACGAACATTCCGAAAAATCCGTCGGCAGCTCCGTCGATACGTCCATCTCGATCGGCGACGAAGAGCTCGCGCTGCTCGGTCCGCCGTGGGCAAAGGAGGGCATGTTGTGCCGGAAGCAGTATAACGAGTCCGGCGGCAAGCGCGCGAGGAGCAAGGCGTGGTTGGACGTGTTCGTCGTTATTCAGAAGGGCGAGCTCAGCATGTTTACGTTTGGTGGGAAGGGCGGGGCTGGGGGTGGTGGGATGGGCGTCGGAGGCGGGAATTGGCTGGAGAATGCTAATCCGGTCGGTGTGCTACCCCTCGCGCATTCCCTGGCGCACGCGTTACCACCACCGGGATATAACCGGTCAAGACCGCACTGCATGGTGTTGACGCTCGCTGGCGGAGCGGTGTATTTCTTCCAAGCCGGCACGGAGGAACTCGTCAACGAGTGGGTCGCGACGTGCAACTACTGGGCCGCGCGACAATCCAAGGAGCCCTTGACGGGCGGAGTCTCCAACATGGAATACGGCTGGAACCGCGCCCTACCGTCCTCATCCCTCCCCGACTCCTCGTCCGACATATACGACCAAGACCGCGACGGCGCCGAGAGCGTGTTCAGCACCGGCCGCGGCGACGCGCTGAGCGTGCGGAGCGGGAAGAGCCGGACGGGCAAGATTGGCGGGAGCCCGTGGGCGGAGAAGGGGTTCGTGAATGAGTGGAAGCCGCCGCAGCCGCCGCTGGTGGCTAGTACGCATGATGAGGAGGGGCAGTTGGAGGCGCTTAGGAAGCATGTGGGGAGTATGACGGTTGAGCTGCAGGAGCATAATGAGTTGAGGGCGCCGATGATGAACCTGGTACGTCTCTACTTCTCACCACACTTTTTGCATGGTACTGATGGTATGATGTGCAGTATGCACCGCGGAGCACGAACGGCGCGAAGGCGCTCGCCAACTGGGAGAACAAATCCAAATGGCTCCTCTCGGAGATCGTGAAGTACGAGTCGTACATCGACAGCTTGCAGCGCGCGATGGCGCTCCGGATGAAGCGGCGCGGCGAGAAGGCTCTGGAGAGGGCGCTGAGGGAGGGCGGGGACAGTCATAAGAAGGCCAAGGCGAAGTCCAAGGCGCAGAGGGAGGATCCGGCGAGGGGTCAGGGGCAGGGGCAGAGGTGGAGGAGGCCGGACGAGGCTACGATTGAGGAGAGTGAGAGTGAGGAGACTACGGATGCGCATGCGCCGTTTAGGCCGGGGATGGGGAGGAGGGTTAGTGCGAGGACGATGGAGACTGTCGAGACGATGGAGACGGAGGACGAGGAGTAGTCGCCCTCTCCATCTGCATACTGTCCCTGCCCAGGTTGGCTGGGGGCGATACACATGCTCTAGGAGAATAAGTCGTGGTGGTTGCTTGTTTGATTCGGATACACACATACATGCATTATTCCCCCTCTCTGTTCTACTTATACCACTGTTTCACTCGTATGTTGCTGCTGTCTCATTGTCTCTGTTATCTGACTGCATGTGCATATCCCATTTGTATCTCGTCGTTTCTATGGATATCGTTATATTCGGCACCCCTAAGCCTGACAGTGGCTTCAATGGCTTCAAGAGAGACATCTGACTATGCTGTAGCATACTACAGCTCTCAATCATGCCGCGCCTAGCGTGCGTGAGGGGCGATAGCAAGGGAAAGAAACTGGGATCGGGTTTCCGGACCGGTGCATATTATATATGCGCCTTTAAACTCCCAAAGTCCTGTTTCCAGCATCTTTCTTCGAAACTACGATGGTGCATTCACAAAACGGCATACAGATACAGCTGATGATACATGCCCTATAAGACGGAGACTGCAGGAGGATGCGAGAAAACAAAGTAACGTCGTAACGGAGAGGGAGTGTGAGGTTCGAGCTGGACGATGAAAGCAAGGGTGGATCTAGCCAAAGGGAATGGGGACGTACAAATACACGATATGGCACAGGATTCTATTGATGCATTGAGATCGAAGGAGTGTGTGGATGGTTGAGAGAGCCGCCAAGGGCTCATGAACGGTGGAAGGAGTGTGGGGCTGCAGTTGTCGTCAGCGTGGATGGGCAGGATCAGTTGAGTCCGTGATGGTGCGAGTGGTGGTGGTACAGTGAATGATTCTAGATGCGAATGATTGGCGAGCCGGGGGTGAGAACGAAACAGAAAAAAAAACAGAAAACGAGAATAATGATACTAAGAGATGCAGAACGCTCAGTATAGCTCGTCATACTGGGCCTGCAACGCCTGAGTCTGCAATGCGGCTTTCGCCTCCTCCTTCTGGAGCTTCCTCGCACGCTTCTCCCACTTCTTCCTGTCGACGACCCACTTCCCCTCCTTCCCCATGTCGACAAATTTCCACGGTCCAGCGTGCACCTGAGCCCGCTGCTCTTCCGTCATGCGCAAGTACATGCAGTCCTGGATGTCTAGGCCATCGCGTAACCGGACGTCAGCGAGTATACGAAGATGTTCGTCGTACGCCCTATGCCACTTGAGCTGTGTGTCGAACGCCAGGTGGTACCGCTCCTCGTAGTAAGCGTCTTCTTCTGCGTCCTGGATTGGCTCAAGACTGCCGCCGAAGAGCGAAGGAGCAGAGGACGGTCGAGACGGAGGCGAAACGGGTAGGACCTGAGCCTCCCAGTCCTCCCCGTGCTGGAGGATCTCAGCGGCCTTGAGCACATTGGGGCGAAGAGGGACGGGTTGCACGATAGCCTGGTGGGCTGGTGGGGTGTCATGGTGCAAATCCTTGGGGAGGTTGCCAAATGCGGGGCTCGGTGTAGAGGGAGATTGGACCGTGAGCGGTGGTTGGGTTGGTGAGGGCTTCTTAACGAAGTTTGAACGAGAGGAGAGGGAGAGGTCCGGCGAAGGAGACAACGAGCCGACGCAGGTTGCCTCAGAGGACTCTCCGCTCGAGTCGTCTGCCGACGATGAGCTATAGCTCAACTCCGTGTCGACCCTGACAAGCAGAGCCGGACGCTCGGAGAGTCGGCGTTTGTTCTTTCCGAGGGTAGGCAGCAACTTCTTAGCAGAGAGCCCATGGAAAGTACCCGTAGAGAGACCAACGGGGTCGTCCTCGTGGTCGTCGCGTAGGAGATTCGAAGGGATAAGAATATCGATCTCTTCGGCTTCGTCGGATGAAAGAGGTGCGGGCGCTGCCACTTTGGAGCTCTTGGACCAAGTTGACGGTCTGAGCTTGTCGAGTGTGTTCGCCCTCTTCACTGTCGGTTTGGTCTGGCTGAGAGTGATGTCGCGAGGGTTTGCGGCCGAGTCGGCACGTTTGTGTGCGTGCAGCAGTCCTCTGACGCTCGCGGCTTTCGCAGCAACGGTAGGTCGAGGAGGTACCGCGCCGATTCCGGCATCGGTGGCGCGGCGAGGCATAGGGATCGGCTTCGCGGGGGAGGCGGTGGTCCTGAACTCTGGTCAGTACAACTCTAGTTCATGATGCAATCAACGAACATACTTGGTGTGGGGGGCGGGAGCTGGCATGCTGGAGACGAGTCGAGAGTGAGAGAGCACTTCAGTGAGGGTAGGGATACAGAGGCGGGCATTTCTTATACGATCCGTCCAGTACCCACGGACAAAGACCACAGTAAAGATGGACAATGGGCGGATAAAGAGCCCTTTGAGATGAAGCCAACCACGATGCGGACGCACAATTCACGACAAGCGGTCAATGGGCGTGTGGACGGGGCATTTGATTGCTGGAACATTGAAACCACGCATCAATAGGGAAGTGGTAGGGTGCCAGTGAACGATCTGCATTATGCATTCCCATTGGACTCCCCAAACCTACAGTTGCAACAGCACAGATCTAGGATCAAGTTACTTCCATCGAGTCACGCCTGTAACGCGCAATGTCCTAGGCGTTGTCTGAATTAGGGTCACTAGGGCTCTCGAAGACAGTAGACACGTCTCAGGCTCCTGCCCTCGGATAAACCACATTCATCCAGGTTTCGGTGCTGCGCTCGATGCGAAGCACGGGCCGGTCCAGCGCAGAGGACACAGCCAGCCACAGCCACAGCCAGTCCGGTCAGGACAATAATGGTTTCTGGACTCTCGCATCGCAGACTGCGGCTTCGAACAGGGTACTCGCGCTCTGCACTGCTGAGCTGCGCTTCTAAGTACTGCGGGCAAACGTCGGTACGCGGGAGTAGGAAGGGCGCAAGAAGATGGCGGGCGACGTCATGACCGGCCAAGTAGAAACAACCTGGATGCAGTCCCGACGACGTATACGCCAGTTACGCGCGAAGACGCGCCAAGGTCCAAATGATTGAGCGACGTAACGTGGCGCATGCAACTGTCCTTTTCGAGTCTATATTCCTTAGCACCACCCCGGCTCCACGTTCCCTCGAGGCGGAAATTCTGTGCCTGCTCACAGCCGAGCACGAAACGAGGGTAGGGGATAGGAGAATGCCGCTTTCGGTTTCGGATACTTGAATGCGCAGTGCACTAGGATAGGGTAGCAACCATGATTCGGAAGACAGGAAAGGGGGTGAGGGAGGGGGACGAGGTGATGGGCGGGCCGCGAGGGCGACTCGGATGGAAAAGGGAAATGACGCAGTTGCGTCACACCGCCATAGTTTCGCCTAGCGGATGTTCCCCTGGGCGCACAGCTGCTGCTAGTACATAAACCCCACTCGAGAATGTCCCGCTTTCTCTCATCGTCAAACCCGCCGCCCCGTGCACGATTATTACAGTACTCTCTCACCCACCAACCCGTACGTGACTATGGGTGCTCTAGTGCCACAGCTCGTCGCTAACCGCGCTTTGCAGTAATCCTCTAACGACCCACAGAACGCCATGGCCGCCGGAGCTGCTGTACCTGGTCTCTTCTTCACCTTCGCCGCGATGGTGCTCCTCGTCTTCGCGTCGGTCTCTTCGCCGACATGGGACACCATCTACTACCTCAGGGCGAACGGTGTCCACTACGGAACCTTCGGTTTCACTGGCTCACAATCCATGATTGGCTACGACTTCCAGGGTGTCAAGTACGTGTGCTATCAAGTCTCAGACAAAGCTCAATAACTGACTCGTATACAGCTCTTCGCGTCTGAGCGAAAGCATCATTCACAACCTGACCGATACCCTCATCCTCGTACCCATCGCAGCAGGTCAGAAACTTATCCCATTGCGTCATATGACTTCCTTCTGACTTTGATTCTCAGGTCTCTCCGGCCTTGCGTTCTTGTTCGGTGTATGCGGCGCAGGCTACCACCGCGCAGGCACCGTCTTCATGGCGCTCTTCTCCGCACTCGCCATGTTGACCACCGTCGTCGCATGGGTGCTCGCCATGGTGCTCTTCAGCATCGCCAAGCACGAATACCGCAAGGAGGGCCTCTCTGCTGACTACGGCAACGCCCTCTGGCTCGTTCTCGGTGCCATGGTCGCGCTCTTCGTTGGCTTCTGCACGTCGGCGTGCGGTGTCTTCGGCTCGTACCGCCGCCGCAACGCGTACTAAACGTGTCGCCTCGCTTCTTGACCCTTCCCTCCCTGTACCACCACCCACGTATGCGAACCTCCCTGTTTTGCTCCGTACGGACTTATCCACACTACCCTATCCCCTTTCTAAAGCCACGAATCCCCCCGAGTCTTCGACTCATGATATCACGATTTGCTTTCGCTTTCACGACGTTGTACTTTGCAATCAATGTATACTAGTTTGAGATTTGAACGCTGAAAATGTTCAACTTGCACGGTGTGATTCGAATTCAGCAGCCAGCTGAGGATTGGTACGACGTATATGAACTACTAGGGATCGAAAGCAACAAGAGCGAAAAGCAATACAGACGGGCAGTACAACAATACGGTATGATAGACAGTCAGAGCACGACGATTCCAAAGTCCTTGCCATACGCAAACACTCAATCCGGTTGAGAGAAGGACAGGCGCGCAATGCTTGCTTGCCTCGCTTCCTCGATTTCATGGCGTGAGAGCGATCGACGCCCGCGACGCGCATGCGCAATAGTCTCAGTCTCCGGCGTACGGGGACTTTCTTCTTCATCCTCGTCCTCTTCTGCTATGGCGTCCTCGTCCTGTGCTGCGGGTGCGTATTCGCCGTCGCCTGGTCCGAGATTGATCTTCGAGCGTACGAGCATGAGGGCGCATACAGCCAAGTATAACAGCACTGCTGATAACAAGAATATCGCCTTGGGGAATTTGGCGACCGTTGCAGCATAGAGCGCCGCGTAAATTCCGGGCTGAAAAGGGAAAGGTTCTGAGTTCAATCTCGCGGAGAATAGTGATTGATATACGTACAGCGATGATATGCGAAGCCGAATTGACGAGACCCATTGCGCCGAAGACCAGGCCGATCTCCGAGCCGCGGCCCATGTTTTGCAACGATACAGAACCGAGGGACTGAAGTGCAGGGTAACCGCCAGATGCAACCGAGTTCAAGGATGTGAGGACGATGAAGATCGCCTGGTTGGACGTTGGCGCGAGCACGACGAGAGCGTTTGCTGTTGCATCCGTGAAGTAGGAAATGGCGGTCACGGCGCGATCGAACTTGATGGCCTGCGAGAGGCTGTAAGGCGTGATGTTGTCTTGTGAAGGGCGTTTGGGCGCAAAGTACGAGAGGACGGCTGTGGTGCGTGAGTGTCAGATGTTCGACCATGATGATGAGCAAACTCACTGGGCAGAAGTAGCAGAAGGTTGATGGCGCGCGTGATGAAGAGCAGGGACATGTAATAGCCCAGTTGTTCGCCCGTCCAATCGAAGACATGCTTCGTGTACAGGTACTTCAGGTTGTATACTTGCTGCGATTCTCGTCAGCACGTGCGCCAACTATCAGATAGATCGTATCTCACGATGGATAAGATGTAGATGAATTGCGCCACTCCCACGAGGGTCAGGTTCCAATCGTAACCCTTGCGCCCACCGCTCAGCTTCTTGGGAAAGAATATGGATATGGGCCGGATCAGGAGGTTGCGAATGAACTTCTTCGATCGAAGGGCGAAGACATGGAAGAGACTCTTCTCGCGAGCAATGTCTTCTGACGAGACACTTGACTCTCCGCGGTGCGTGGTGAAGGAGAAGTCCGAGCCTAGGCGTCGATCGGGCTGCAATGATTCGGGCAGGACAAACACGATGAGTACCAGATTGACCAGCGCGAATGCAATTGCAAACGCGAAGAGCGTCTCGTTGGTGCTCCTGCGGTCCAGATTGAGGATAGCGCCGTCAACCTAGGCCAATGTCAATGAAGGCTCGCGATTCCATATTTGTAGATGAATACCCAGGGCCCGGCCGCCAATCCTACGTAGAGCATTCCCTGCATCATGACAAAGATCTGAGAGCGGGACCCGCCGGATGTACAGTCGGCAGCGTATCTAGAGGGGCCCATGTTCATATCAAGCTCAAGATAGTGGAGGCTTATACTTACGCATGAGTCAGACTGCTGAAGCAGGAGTGTGCACCCGTCAGACCTTCCACGAAAGGCGCCAAGATGATGAAAGCCTCGCCATGTCGTCCAAAGACCGTACCGGTGTTGGACACCAGGATGTAGACGAAGTCCCTGGCACGCACATCGTGAGTTCAAGGAGATATCAAGGAGCAAAGAGAAGACGCACATGAACAGGGCGCCGAAGACTGTGATGGCAAGGATCTTCTTCCGGCCGTGTACATCGCTCATGTGAGAAAGCCAGCCGGTCGTGATCGCGCTGAGAACGCTTTCGGTTGTTTTCACAGCTGTAAACAGAAGTCTGAGTGTTAGTGGCGCGGTATGAAACAGATGGACGCCCGCGAGGGCAGGTCATTGACTTACACGCCTGTATGCGGGCCGCGCGTCCCTGCACCCGGGGATCACTGGAACATTCATCGAGTGACTGGACATTTCGGATGGGCAGGGAGAGAGCGCTATTTGCGCCTTCCGTTGTGGGATATGGTTCGAATAACTCAGCCCTGGGCATGAGGTACTCGTAGAAACGGGGCGTAGGGGAAGAAGGCAGTGACTCGTCAGACTCATGGACTGCGCGACAGGCGATATCGGTGTAGACTTCGACGCGTGGTGCCATAGTCATCCCGCGCTGACCTCCATCTTTGAGTACGAGGACGAGTGTAAATGCGCGTTGAACGCACGGTGAGGGAGGCTATGAGTACAATGGGTGCAATCCTGAAGTTGAGATGGGTCAACTCTGGAACAAAGCTTAAACTACTCGCAGCGTACCATCCCGCCGTGGGCTTGTGCCAGTTGAACGTCCGGATAGCGCGCGCCCAGGAGCGCAAGCGAGAGGTGGGCCGTTCGGAGGGCATGCCGACATCCTGCAGGCTCGCCAGTAACGGGTCTCGCTCCTCAGTGGAGGGTGTGTGTTGGTGGCCAGGCATGGAGGCCGGGACGAAGCCCTGTTCATTGCCCGTACTCTCACGCGCGCGTCTCCTTGGTCGCGTCCTGCGCGCCTCCCCATGGCCGTAACCCTGATTAGAAGATAGATCCGTTGCGGCAATCGCTCTCCGCCGGCACGACGTCATTTCTATCAGATAGCTAGATGCCGATCGGTCAAGTTGCCTCGCATTCGCCTCGAGGCTCTGACCATAATCTATCGAAAAACCCTCGCGGAGGTACTTGAGAGCGGTCACACAGGAGGGAGGTCCAAAACGTGGTATAGTGCAGGTGAAGCAGAGCGTATGATGATGTCCACTACAGAGGATACAAACGAATGAGAGTGTAGATGAAGGTTCCAATTCCATGCTTTGCGAATACAGAAATGCAACAGACGTATATCAATCCCCGATACCTCAGCTCTCCGAGATAGACAAGCGAGCGATACTAGCCCTCCTCGCCTCCTCAATCTCATGACGAGACAGTGACCGACGCTCGCGACGTCCGCGCGGGCTCTCGTCGTCAAGGGCATCAGAGTCCTCGTCAGCCACCGCGTCTTCATCCTGAGCTGCAGGCGCGTATTCGCCATCATTGGGCGATAAATTGATCTTTGAGCGCACGAGCATCAAAGCTCCCACGGCAAGGTAGAGCAGTACGGCGGATAGCAGGAAGATGGCCTTCGGGAACTTCGCTACCGTCGCCCCATACAGTGCAGCATAGATACCGGGCTAGGAATCATAGAATGAGATAAGCGGATGCGCGATTCTGAAGTTTTGGTACCCACCGCGATGATATGTGAAGCCGAATTGATGAGACCCATCGCACCGAAGACGAGGCCGATCTCAGAGCTGCGTCCCATATTCTGAAGCGTAACAGCGCCAAGCGACTGCAGTGCCGGATAACCGCCAGACGTAATGGAGTTGAGAGAGGTAAGGAAGATGAAGAGCGCCTGGTTGGAAGTCGGAGCTATCACGACAAGAGCATTGGCCGTCGCATCCGTGAAGTACGAGATAGCGGTGACAGCGCGATCGAACACGATTGCTTGTGAGAGGCTCTGAAGGGTCGCGTTATTGTTGGATGGTCGCTTCGGCGCGAAGAAAGAGAGCACAGCTAGAGCACGTCAGAATAACTTTCTGGCCGAGTACTAAACTGTGAACGCACTGGGTAGGAGAAGCAGAAGATTGATGGCGCGTGTGACATAGAGAAGCGACATATAGTACCCAAGTTGCTCGCCAGTCCACCCATAGACGTGCTTCGTATACAAGTATTTGAGGTTGTACACTTGCTAAAGCCATTAGTCAGCACACTCATCGGCTCTTTCTTACATGAAAGACCCTCACAATAGACAAGATGTAAATGAATTGAGTGATACCGACAAGTGTGAGATTCCAGTCGTAGCCTTTGCGCCCTGCGTCAAGTTTCTTCGGGAAGAAGATAGAGATAGGGCGAATCAACAAGTTGCGAATGAACTTCTTCACTCGGTACACGAAGACATGCCAGCTGCTCTTGTCGCGTGCAACTTCCTCTGAAGACACGCTCGTTTCTCGGCGTCTTGTGAAGGAGAAGTTTGATCCTAGTCGACGTTCGGGAAGTAACGATTCGGGCAGGATGAATATGATCAAGAATAGGTTGGCAACTGCAACCGCAATAGATGCCGCGAAAAGCGTTTCATTGGTGCTTCTGTGGTTCAAATTCAGAATAGCGCCGTCAATCTACATTTGTTCTCAGCCAAATGAATGGTAAAAACGAGAATATGATCATACCCAAGGGCCAACACTCAAGCCGACATAAAGCATCCCCTGCATCATCACAAATATCTGGGAGCGGGAACCACCAGATGTGCAATCAGCGGCATAAGCATGGGTCAAGCCGCCAAACAATGATTGGGCGCCGAGGAAACCTTCTACGAGTGGTGCGAGTATGATGAAGGCCTCCCCATGTTGACCGAAGACGGTATTAGGGGTGGAGACCAATATGTAGACGATGTCCCTAGCGCACACAGGAGTCCGGTAAGTATGGCTGCAAAAGCGGACGTAGGTAACCTTATTCCTTACTCACATGAATAGTGCGCCGAAAACGGTGAGCGCTAGGATCTTCTTCCTGCCATATACGTCGCTCAGATGTGAGAGCCAGCCCGTTGTGATCGCACTAAGCACGCTTTCGGTCGTCTTCACAGCTGGGGGCACAGACGCCAGTCAGCTGCCATAAGATCGACAGACCAAACACGAACGAAGCAACTTACACGCTTGTATGCGCGCGGCGCGGCCTTGTACACGAGGATCACCGGAACATTCGTCCAGCGTTAGTGAGTTCGGGTCAGAGAAGTTCAGCGTCAACGCGCCCGGCGGTACGCCGCCCGCAAAGTTCGGCTCGAATACATCGGCTCTCGGCATCAGATACTCGTAGAAATGGGGTTTAGGGTTCAGCGGGTGCGTGTCTTGTGCTTGGTGAACCGCTCGGCATGCGATCTTGGTGTAGACCTCGACCCGCGGTGCCATAGTCATACCGCGCTGCGCGCCAGCATTTCAACATGGCCTGTCCACAGAGTAGAGCGTGCATGCGTACGCATAGTGAAGAAATGAGAACAACTGGGGCAATCCTAGCAGAAGCCGCTCAGCGCCGAAACGCGGGGCGCGCATGTTCGCAACGCACCATCCCGCTGTAGGCTTTCGCCAATTGAAATGTCGGACAGCGTGAGCCCAAGTGCGTATACGAGAATTTGGCTCCTGTGTAGGAGGTTCGGAAGCTTGAGTGTTGAGGAGGGGCTCACGCTCCTCAGTGGTGGCCGTGTGGTCGTGGGTGGGCATTGTGGAAGCCGCGGGCAAGGCGTTCACGCGCTTGGAATTGCGTCCGTTCTATCTGATAAAGCATCTTGCCGCGCCGACTGCACCGCATCAGTCGGGTCAGGGCGTCGAGCTTCGAGCATCACCGGCGTTTACACAATTATTATCTGATATCTATCTAGGGACCATCTCATCGAGACTGCGCTTGCGCAAGAAACACGAGGACCTGGCTAAAAGTAGAAGACAGAGGCGTTCGAGAAATTTGAAAGGCGCCCCAACTCAAAGCCTGGATATACAGAGGGGAAGCCAAATATGCATATATATTCTCACATCAAACGCCAAAATAACGTAGCACGAGCTGCTTACAACACCGGGCTACGTCGCCCCACAATACTTGACTTTGAGACCCAACCAGCCGCCATCATGACCTTCAGCCGCGGGGGCCATAATGATGGTCGGCAGACGCTTGATCGTGGTGTGCGGGGGCGGCGCGAACTCGAAGCTCTCAATCAGCGTCGCGGCAATGGCCTGCATCTCGATGACGGCAAAACGCCAACCTGGAACGGACAGGTTAGAATGTTCACTTCGCGAGAAGAGCATCGCGTTCACGCACCGATACAGCCACGGACGCCGGCCGCTGTGAGTGAAGATTAGCTATAGAGACATGGTCTTTGACGACTGAGCTCACAGAAGTTCAGTAGGTTGGCGTAGAGCCCGACCGGGGTCAGCGCGGACTTGTCGAGGTTCATGAATCGTTCCGGGTTCCATTGGTGAGCATCTGCACCCCAGACCTCAGGATTGCTTGCGGTGAACTGTCAGTACGGTCCATAATGGCGTAGCGGCGATGCCCACCGGTTATAAGAGGCTATGTTGATATGGACTTCTTGGCCCTTCTGAACAGGGATGGAAGAGATTGACTGTCCAGATTCCGTGACTATTGGGTGAGCGAGCGGAATCACATCATCTTGGCCTGCTCTGCGGGCTAGCGACGGGACGATAGGATGTAAGCGCATCGCTTCCTTAAGCGTCGCGTGCATGACCGACATGCCCTCGAGGTCGGCAAGATTAAACCCGACATCGCCGCGATCAGCCAGTTTGCGACGGACTTCGCGGACTTCATCCCGCACGCGCGTTTGCCAGTCAGGGTTGCGTGCAAGCTCCCATAACCAGAACGTCAGGGAAGAAGAAGTGGTATCATGCCCGGCCTGCGCAGGAGTCAGTGACAGCTAACGAAAGGTGATGCATTATCGCATACAAGGATGATGTTGCTGTAGAGTCAAGTCAACGTCGTGTCTACTCGGGTGAGATGGGCACTCACGAGATTTGGTCGATGAGCTCGCCGTCACTGAGCTTGAGAGCACCATTTTCCGCTCCATTGGCGCGTAAGAGGACACTCATGACGTCCTTTGAGGCGGCCTCGTTGTCAACCTGGGCCTGAGAGACAAGTTCGCGACCGAATTTGCGAATGTAATCCAAGTATGTCCGGAAGCGGCGGGCCCCTCGCGCGGGCGCGTAGCGGAGATACCATAAAACGCCACTGGGAATATAGTCCCAGCATTTACGGAACACAAGCCATAAGGCAGGTGGGTAAAGCGTCCCGTCGAGGCTGCATGCGCCATGAGTGAGCTCCAGTCTATAGTGGTGTAGATCGGGAGAGCGACTCACAAAAGTCCCTATATGCGGTATAAGCATTGGTGATGATAATTAGCGCACAAAAGCACTCGTACCTCATACGCATCCGCAAGATCGCTCTGCTTACGGTCCAGGCTTCCGAAGGAGAACCCGAATCCCGCTATCAAGCTGGCTGTCAGGGGTGCGACGCGAATCATAGAGAGTCCGACTCACTTTCGCCAATAACATCAAGCGTAGTGCGAGAGAGCCAAGAGTATACATTGATAACTGGGTCGATAGCGCCGCTACCCGGCGTGATTTCTTCCTCCTTCCATTTTTGCACGAGCTGAAACACAATCAGGTTCATTATCACTGTGGGGAGCGCCGCTCTGACCTTCTCCGCATATTGCAGGAACGTCGGTAGGAAAGACTTGAGTTGAGGGACGGAGAAGGCGGGGTTCATAATCTTCCTCTGCTTCTGGTGTTGACTACCTGTATGATTTCAGCCACATTGTTTGGCTGAACGACGCAAAGTAGAGATATACCGTCAGCCCAGACAATACCGTCACCGAAGACCATGTGGCTCTCGCCGCGACTTTCAGAGTTCTTTGGGAAGCGGTAACCCGACGTCTGGAGAACGTATTGTAAACCTTTGGGATCAGCCAACATGAGACGATCTCCCTGGTATAGCATCAGCATCAGCATCGGCGATATGTCGGGTCTTATGCCGAGTTCAGGACGTACCCCGAGCGGATCGTGTATCTTCCAAGCGCCACCGTACTCTTTGAGCCATTGGAATTCGATCTCACCAACCTCGGCCTGGTAGAAGTAATCGCCCATGTTGCCTGCAGGGATGTGAGCCCATGTAGCACCGCTGACGACGGTGAATGCACGAACCGAGCCAGAAGGAAGAACGCGGCGGGCCTCGGATGTCTTTAAGCGAGGGCCCGCGGAAGTAGCGCACGGCTACCGCCACGAAGAAAGCGCCAGCCGCTAGACAGTACAGCTGAGAAGAGGATAGGTCGTATGGAGTCATTGCGGTTCTCTCGTCTTGCGATGACCTGCATCTTATACGCCACTGATCAATGCACAGGAGAGGCGTCGGGCCGTGATCTGGTCAGCGTATCGCATAACACGGGCAGCGCTATTGGGAACGCATAGCAGAGCGCAGATCAAAGAAGCAACCTTGCCCCACCTTCACCGTAACCGCAATGACGAGTGTGGGTTATTTGTATCGGGCTTCCCGAGGCTCAAGCGCTGATGCTCAGAGGTGCTCGAGACGTGGCCGAACCTACCACGGCAATACCGTGTCATGTCCGCCTTTGGCCTTCAGCATCGCTGCGACGACCGCAACCTATCGCCGTCCCCAGTACATATCTGGACATGCTGTGAACGGGAGTGTGAGCGCATCTATCAGGTTCAAGATGAGACGCACACACCGAGATCACCTGAAGTCAAAGATAAGTTGGCTGACGCGCGTCGCGTTACTCGCCTCGGCTAGGCTTCGGACTCCTGCCTGCGTGTAAGGAATCGTGGTCGGGCGGCAGGCGGCGAAGTTCGTGCCGATGTGCTTCTATCTAGTGATCGTGGTATGAGAAGCAGCCCGCAGTGACCCGATATACAGCGAGCAATCGTGACACACCACCCTTTTGCTCGCCCCCACCCGTGCCCACGACCAGTTATCTCTATCCCTATCCGAGACTACGAGCTATAGCACGTCATGTCATGCATTTTGGTTACTCCTTGGCTGAGGAGTAGCGTACAACCTTTCACTTTACAATTGTTCTGGCGGCACCAGACGTATGCCGTTCCTCGCGCACAATAATGATGCAGTCGGATCGTACACTCCCAACCACTCGACGCGCAGGTACGTCGACGCAGAGGATAAAAAAGAGAAGGGCATCGCAAAGAGACAGTTCCATACACAAACCCCGCGGAGAGCACTCATGGCGGGGCAGAGCAAGCCTGTTGAACCGGGAAAGCGCGCCGAACAGCGCCGAACACGCGCGGCAACTCCGGCTCCGAGTTCTTCGCCTCTTGGTCCTTGCTACCACGACCGTCCTGTACATCATTGGCCGTCCTACGCTGTCCGGCATATTAGGCTCTACCTTACCCGCCTTCTGAGACGAGTACCTCGATACGCGCACATGCATGTGCACCCCAGCCAGCCTACTCGTGTTCCGGCCCACCCGCACATATATTCCAATCGCTCCTGCGCCTCTCTCATGCCTTGTAAGCGTTGGGCCCCGACACCAGTGTACTGGCCACTGTGGTCACTGTTCAATGCATAACGGAACTCAAGTCCGTTACATCAATACATTACCCGCACTGTCTTATTGTCATCGAACGCATGATTGTACTCATACTGTATTTAATCATGACGAATACACGTTCCTCGCCCAACCTATATTCACTACGTATTCTGCCCTCGTATGACGAACACGGTGCAATCTACAGTCACATATCTCCACAGTACTTGACCTTCAAGCCCAACCAGCCCGTCGGGTGAGCCTCCGTCGCGGGGGCCATGATCACGGTCGGCATACGCTTGATGGTATTGTCCTTCGTCTGCGGTGGAAGCGCAAACTCGTAGCTCTCAATGAGCGTCGCAGCGATCGCCTGCATCTCAATCACTGCGAAGCGCCAGCCTAGGATGTGGGAGGTCAGTTGACTGTGTCAATAGCGGATACATATTAATACACCTATGCAGCCACGGACCCCAGCAGCTTGGAACCGCAGTCCATCAGAGCGTTGCAACATTGCACTTCAAACGGACTTACAGAAGTTGAGCAAGTTCGCATAGAGGCCAACAGGAGTCATCTCGGACTTGTTGAAGTTCATGAAGCGGTCAGGATTGAATTCATGAGCATCCGCGCCCCATACTTCAGGGTTGCTGGCGTCGTAAGTTCAGTGTGTTGTCTATGGTGTGAAGCCAGTGAAGACAGGCACCGATTATATGCGGCCATGCTGATGTAGACCTCTTGTCCTTTGCTGATTGGGATGGACGATATCATCTTCCCGGACTTGGTCATGATCGGGTGGGCGAGCGGAAGCACGTCGTCCTGCGCGGCCTTGCGTTCAAGCCACGGAACAATGGGGTGCAGGCGCATCGCCTCCTTCAGCGTCGCATGCATGACCGACATGCCCTCGAGATCGGCTAGGGTGAATCCGGCATCGCCGCGATCGGCCAGCTTGCGGCGTACTTCACGGACTTCGTCGCGCACGCGCGTCTGCCAGTCGGGATGACGCGCAAGCTCCCATAACCAAAACGTCAAGGACGAGGACGTGGTATCGTGGCCAGCCTGCACGAGAGTCAATGCCGTCTTCAACACGAGATTGAGGTCTGCATACGAGGATGATGTTCCTGTCGAGCGGTTAGCGTTGCTTCCACTTCGGTCGTGTTGAACACTCACGATATCTGATCATAGAGTTCGCCATCGCTCAGCTTGAGAGCTTCATCCTCGGCTCCATTGGCGCGCAATAGGACGCTCATGACGTCCTTTGCCGCAACCTCGTTGTCGACCTGAGCCTGGGAGACAAGCTCACGACCGAACTTTCGAATGTAGTCCAGGTACGTGCGGAAGCGACGGGCCTCGCGCGTGGGCATGTAACGCATGTACCACAAGATTGACGGCGGGATGTATCTCCAGAGGGACTGGAAGACCAAGAACCAACGAGCCGGGTAGAGATTGCCTTCAAGGCTGTACGCATGTGAGTATCAAGATCTCAGCCCGACAAACAGGAGAGCAACCCACAAGAGTCCCTGTGTGCATGGTGAGCTTCATTGCGGAGACTGTATGTAGAAGAAAGTATACCTCGTACGCGTGAGAGAGGTCGCTCCCCTTCCGATCCAGGGCACCGAATTCAAAACCAAAGCCCGCTGTCGAGAAAATCGTCAGAGCTAGGAGCCCGATAAAGCTGGTGAAAGCCTTACTTTCCCCGATGACATCGAGCGTTGTGCGAGAGAGCCACGTGTAGACGTCAACTACGGGTTCGACAGCCCCGCTACCCGGCGTAACCTCCTCTTCCTTCCACTTTTGCACAAGCTGGATAGACGTAAGCAGGTAATCGCTTCAAGGCAAAGGCGCAGACTGAACCTTCTCTGCGTAGCGAAGAAAGACCGGAAGGAAAGACTTGAGTTGTGGGACCGAGAAGGCAGGGTTCATGATCTTCCTATGTCGTTGGTGCTGGTTACCTGGGTTCAGTCAGCGACGGTGTCCAAAGACGCAGTATCAGAACACACACCCTGGACCCAGAGGATACCGTCGCCAAAGACCATGTGAAGTTCTCCCTGAGCTGCTGCATTCTTGGGGAATCTGTAACCAGACGTCTGAAGAACGTATTGCAGCGCCTTGGGATCGGCGAGCACTAGCCGTTCGCCCTGTTGTGGTTCCCGATCTTAGTATAAGGGAAGGCCTGCGATGTCATCCTTCGTACGCACACAGAGTGGTTCGTGTAGCTTCCAAACACCGCCATACTCCTTAAGCCATTGGAACTCAACGTCACCGACCTCGGGTTGATATCTGAAGTCCCCGATGTTGCCTATGCAAACCCATCAGTTCAAGACCAATTCTATATCAAGTGCCAGTAACAAACCTGTCCAGAAAGACGAGCGGCTCGGGCCGCGTATGTCCTTGAGTGAGAATCGACGGAAGTATCTGACCGTCGCGACCACGGTAAGAAGAACGCCTGCCGCTAGACAGTACAGACGAGCAGGTAGATCGAAGGTCGCCATTGTCATGCGTTCTCTCGACAGTCTGGCAGCAAGCTTTTTATACTTCGCCGACCGGCGCTGTGCATAAGAGACGATGACCAACTACCAGTGTGATTCAGCTCCGTGAGCACTTCTTTAGACACGAAGCCTCGTATATCGAAGAAGTCAGCAAGATCCACCTCCCTGCAGCGAGTTGAGCGTGGGGTTCAGCCAGATGCGATCCCATTCACTTGAGTGGCGCACTGTAAAGGTGACAGAGACCATATACACTTACGTCGAGACTTCCGATGTAGTAGTAGCAAAGAGCAGGTAGCAGCGACACGAGAAAGTTACAAGAATCTGGACAATGAATGTTCGGAACGGTACCATCCGATGCTCTGGGATGACGCGAAACCTGTTACTCCCATCGTCGGGGTGAAGTCGGGCTGGCATTGATATCGTTACAGGCGCCGGTGCAAATGACCTGCTGCCGGCAATGAGCTTCGAAATCAGCGGAGAGCTGTGGCTTACTGATTGGACCGCAGCCACCGGATATACAGCACGGTCAAATCACTCTGAATACCTCTCCCTTTGTCCCATCAATTCTTCACGTTGCTTCTTGGCCTCCGTTTCTAAGAAGCCTAGCTTGGACGCATGCATCGCAAAGTTCGTAAGAATGTACGATTCGATGAGTAGTACCGATGACTGAATGTAATTAGCTGTGGGGTAGAGCGTACAGAGCGCAGCAACACGAAAGCAAATAGACTGAGGTAGATGCGTAAATGAATGCAAAGGGCGTGCGAAGTCCGATTAATCCTTCTCATCATAGCGCATGAAAGCATCGACAGACAAATCCTGAATGTATACGAATCAGCAGTGGCACATATTGGGGGAACCAGTGGACGCGCACCTCTGGAGCGAATGGCCAGTTGATGAACTCGCGGATAAGACGCGCCCATTCGTCATTCGTGATTTCAGGAGGTGATTTTGCAGCGTCGATTTGCTTGTCTTCCGACGCGTTCTGATTAGCGTACTTCAAGAGATACTCGGCGCCTGGTGCGATGCTTCTGCAGATGTCGTTTCCGGCGTCAATGTAGGGGAAAGGGGTTTCAAAGAACATCTTTACCCTATGCTTTGCCTGATTGGCGTGCGTTTCTGGACGAACAGCTTGCGAATGACGAAATCCCACGCCTCCAACTCGTTCGGGAGGATGAGTTGTTCCGTGTGTGGTACGACGTTGACGGCCAGGTAAGGGGATCCGATACGGCGGGACACGGCGCGACGCTCGATGGCAAGGTGTTGGACCTTCACAGGGTGGAAATGAGATGTGAATGGCGCCGTGGCTTCCATCGGGATAGCGAGGTCTGTCTGAGCGCTGATTTGGGATATTACGCTGTGTTTGCAGCGCTCCATGTCATTCTCGCCAGCTGTTAGACGCTGTGAAGAGGGCATGAGTACACCGACAAACGTTTCGTGTAGACCGATCGTACCTTAAAGCCCCATTCGCCCATGATCAGGCTCATAGGCACACGACCATACTGGAACAGCCAGCTCTTCTGCGGTATGCAACGGTGGAGTTGAGACACGAACTGCTCGTGTTGCGCGGTCATGAAGATGTGGGAGATGAAGTGAAGGTTGGGATGAACTGGACGCAGGGTAAGTTAGGTTGAATGTGCTTGTATACGTGTAACGACGTACGACCAGCGTCAAAAGGCAACTTGGGGATATCCGTGAGGACCTTGTCATCCATATGGGTGTAGGTCGCCCAGTCGAACCCGCTCATCGGCAAGACGGTCACTCGCGGGTCCGCCTTCGCTAATGGCTGTGTATATGAGTAAGGAGACGAAAGCTGTTGAGTAAGGATACTGCCTACCTCGAGAAATGGGAGAAACCGAGCATCATCCTCCAAGATAATGAGTCTGCCGAGTTTATCCTCCGGCAACGTCAACAGTGCACGCGAAAGCATGCCAGGACCAGGAAAAGCTTCGATGACCGTTTTCGGGCCTGTCGAACGCGTTGCATCCGAGTCGAGGAACGCATGGGCCATGGCCAGCGCCGTTTCTGGATTATGTACGGCTATTCGCTCTCGCTGCGCCACGGTTGACGCTCTCCAGAATAGATCGTCCCAGAAACGTAGGGGCGGTAACAGCGGGAAGCGAGCCATGGATTCAGGTAATGGCACCTCCTCCGGTATAGGCGGACGTTGTATCTTCATGAGTTCCTCCAGATATTGCTCCATCGACGCCTTGCCGTCCGCGACCTCCTTGAAGCGCAGGGTGACGACTTTGTGCTGGACCTCTTCTGACAGGTTTGCAAGGGTGCTGCCCCAGATGGCTGTCGAGCCCGAATAGGACGTCCTGGCCTTCATGGCCCGCGCTGCCTCCCTGGCCGCCCTGGAGTCCGCCCGTCTCTGACGCTCTACCTCCATCTCCTCAGGCGTCCGTCGTGCTCGCCTTTTGGGTTTAGCATCAGCCTCTGGAGCTAACGCGGCAGCAGTGGAAGTGGAAGCGAGCCGGCTCGCGCTGACAGCACGAGGGACGGAGGTGCATGGGCGCGACAGCTGGCGAAGCATCGACGCGTGCAGAGTCAAGTTGCGCGTTTGTCGCGTCGACGCGTCTCGTCACGGAGCCACACCCAGGTTCTCGATTTAATCCACGTGGCCGTACTTTCAGGCTCGTACGCAGCCTGCAACATGCGACAGTCGAATGGATAGATGATACAGATTAAGCAATGCAGCCATTGTCCATGGTCCGTTATGATATCTCTAAGAGTGATCTTCTAGGCTCTACCCGCGAACCGCTCAACCCCACGAAATGTAGAAAATAACTTATGTCGTAAATCATACCCAAGGCCCTACATCCGAGCCCTTATCTTAGCCCTCCACCTGGATTCCTTACATCCCATGAAATCTCACCAAATAATCTCGCCTGAGGGTCGTCCTCTGCGCTATCAATCTCGTCCTCGTCCTGAAGTTGAGACTCCGCGTCGCTCTGACTGCGCTTCTCGCCGAAGTTCACAGACTCGAGGGTCATATTATCACTGCGGAGCATGTCAGCAATCTCCTCATAGCTTAACACAACAGGACGAACAAGATCCCCGCTTCTGGTATAGTACGCATCGTACGCAAGACGGCGGCCAGCCATAATAACGTTGTGACCGCCGCGAGGAAGGCGCCGTATACCCTGAAGAACGTCGAGTCGAATTGCCGATATAGTTGCAGCGTCAGAATTGCGTAGATGCCCTGTAGTAATGCTGATAAGTCGTCTGATAGCTTATGCAGTGAAGACGGCGACGCACGATCGGGAATATCAAACTCCAGAAAGGCAGGTTGAACGGCAACATGCCTTGTCTTGCGACCCGTTGGACGGCTAGGATGGTGAAGCCGAGCCACATGGTCGTCGCCGCCCACAAGCAGACCGCCCATGCTACGCATAGGACATACATCGTGTCCCCAAAGTTGGGTAGCGAGAGAAACACGGAGTTGGTGTTCTGCAGAGGGAAGATGTCGTGGAACACCTGGCCGAGGTACACCATCGTGACCCCGGGCTGCGCGAAACTCGATATCGTGAGGAACATCGAGACCACGGCTGTCCCTCCCGGATATCCGTGCACGATCAGACGGTAAAAGTACATCGTCGTGAGCATGAAGAGGAACGACAGTGCGAAGACTTCGAGGACGATGCCAAAAGCGATCGAGATGAGGGCGTGGCTCATGCTGTACGGAGCAAGAGCAACCGCGATCAACGGACCAGTCGATGCGGCCGCTCCCAGAGGAAGCGACGGATAGAGATTAACTGCCGTCAACTGCTCAAATGAATGTGTGTGCACAGTTGCGCTGGGGGCAAGGTCAGTCGAGTTTCCGGCACCGCACTGTGAATGCGACGTACAGGGTGTGAATTAGACCAAATGCGATCCAGAGCGTTGCAGCTACATTGATCCACCATACACTCCACAAGCCATAGACGAACGACTTGTCGCCGTAGTGGTAGCCGTTATGGACGAGGTTGATAGTGACGTTGATGAGGGTAGTTGCGGCCATTGGCACGGTAGAGAAGTATAGGGAATGAGTTGGATGATTGATGGTCTTGCTGACTTGCTGAGGCCAGATAACGAAGCGAATGAGTGACACGAAGGTGAAGACGCAAAAAAGTAACAGGTTGAAGAATAAGGCGAAAGAGGCGACAAATCGAATGCCCTGACTTGTCTGAGCGTAAGGAAAGTTCGTGAAGCAATTGGACAAGATGCCAGTGCCTAATGGGTATAATCAGTACGCGAAAACCTGAGTATGCAGCATCGCCGGTGGACACAAGGGGAGGCTGTGCGCGTGATGCGTCCCGACGTTCGCAACCATCCCGCCACAGCAACATCGCCGCAAGCCGCCAAAAGTTGCAGGCCTTGTGCAATCTCTACGAAAAGGCGTACTCACCAATTGTAATCGTGAACCAGGCGGGCGTAAAACCTCTGTAGTTATTTTGGATGTGAGCACAATACTAAATATAGATCATTGTTGTACGCACCTAACACCATCCTTCAACCTGTCTGAAGAAGTGGCTTTGGGGGTTGTGGGGGCCTGCCCCTTTGCGGTCGCGGGGGGTTGACTTGACATAGCGGCCTGCGCGGTCCTAGAACAGACGGCGAACCAGTTCACAGCACTCGTCGATATATAGGAACCGCGCAATGCTCAGGGTCGGAGCGTTCGGCACTGCACATCAAACGTTACAATCAAAACGGTTAGCGCCATTCGCCACAGGCTCAGCCGCGTATTTTTACGACTCGCAGACCACTCAGAAGCGTCGGCTAGTCATCATATCCGTATTCGTAAAGGGCCAACCGGGTTCCATGCTTTAGAGGGCACAAGACTAGCGGCGGTGCAAACAACTGCGAGCCTCGTGGGCGCGTCGTGTAAACGATGTCGTTGTTTGTTCGCGGCGGCCGCTTGAGCGCCGCGCGACGATCCGTGACGCATTGTTGCCACCTCTCTCGTACTGCCATCATCTTCCATGGCGGGTCACCTATCGCCTCCGCCCGCTGGCAGAGCCACCCTTCGACGGTTCTCCTCGTCTTCCGCAGCTGGGCACACCAGATTTCCCCGCGCACGCGTGCGCCGTTCGCGGAACCGCCATCGCGGACCTCTCCCGTCAACCAGTCCCGATCCTGCAGACCGCAAGTACGAACAGGCGCTATCCTCGACTTCGCACTTGACAGATGACGACGGGGACAACTACGACGACGAGTCTGATCAAGAACGTCCGGCCGAGCCGCCTGTGCACCGGGGCAGGCTCATGAGCCATCCCGTACTTGATTTACAGCATTCGCACACCGACGCCTTCAACAACAACGATGGACGAAGGCCGCTTACCTACTCTTCTCTGCCTTCGACACCGGTTGGTCCGGATGCGCCACCTCTATCTGCTGTGCCCCAGTCGCCGATGTCACCGATATCAATGTCTGCTGAAGACGATCCTCCGGTGCCTTTTTCGCTTTGGGACTACTTGCGTGAGGAGTTACTCGCCACGGACTTCGACTCGCATCAGGAAATGAAGTGGGAGCGCGTCAGCAACTTCCTCAACGTACCCGTTGCAGTAGAGAAAGTATGGTCTTCATTGATTACCCTGGCATCGGGCGCACACGTTACGGTAGCATGTCGTTGGCTTCGCCTATACAAAAATATAAATCATCATTTGCGAACTCAAAACAGTTAGACTGCCTGCGTTGAGCCAGATGAGCACCGGTCCACTGTGCGCTCTGTGTCCATCATGGAAGTGCACACTAACGCAGCCTTCACAGCACATCCTCTTCGGTTTCGTGCTCTGCTTTGATTCGTTCTTGTACACGTTTACTGTGCAGCCGATTCGCTTCGTGCTTGCCGTCTGGCGAGTGGTCGTAAACTTCGTCACCAGAAGCAAGAAGCCGCTTCCTCCGTCCCAGAAGGCCGATATCTTACGGACGATGCTAGTCGTCCTCTCCATCATTCTACTCGTTCCATTGACGGACGCTAGTAAGATATACCACTCCATACGCGGACAAGATACCATCAAGTTATATGTCATATTCAACGCTCTCGAGGTAAAGAGCACGTCGATATCGATGGCGCCCACATCTCATAGTACGCTTCTAGATCGCGGATAGACTGTGTGCTTCTATCGGTCAAGATGTACTAGACTGTCTGTTCTCGCGATCGAACTTGACGCTGTTGTCAAGACGGGTCCCGTTCACCACCCGCACGCTGAACCCCGTTTTGTTCTTCGTACTGTCGACCATCTACACTGGTGAGTATCTCTCATCTACGTCTATAATCATACCCGGCTGAACACGTTCACACAGTGATACACGCTATGGTCATGACATACCAACTTCTTTGTCTCAATGTTGCTATCAACTCGTACGACAACGCGTTGCTCTCGCTTCTCATGTCCAATCAGTTTGTCGAGATCAAGGGCAGCGTCTTCAAGAAGTTTGAGAAGGATAACTTGTTCCAAATCACTTGTGCGGGTGAGTGTGCGCTCGCTACCATCAATGCCAACACGGGGCTCACACCGAGATGCCGCGCTCAGACATTGTCGAGCGCTTCACACTAGGGCTCATGCTCTTCTTCGTCGCCTTCCGGAATCTCATCGAGTTGTCCGGTTCAGACTTCGACTTCAGTGGCGGCTTCTTCCTGCCCAAGAGCTTCGGTTGGTCGCGCGGCGGGCACGCCGGGCTGCGCATCCTCTGGACGATATCTTATGTACGCTCACACGCTCACACAAAGCTATGCATCGCACTGACCCTTTTCCGATACCAGCCTGTTCTGACCGTTATGGCCTCCGAAACGCTCGTTGATTGGCTGAAGCACGCCTTCATCACCAAGTTCAATCACATCCGCCCTTCCGTGTATGAGCGGTACACCGATGTTCTCTGTCGTGATCTGTCGAGCGGGACCCGTCTAAGCGCGCGCAAACATACATACGTGGACCAGTCCCCCGTCGTGGCTCGCCGCCTAGGCTTCGCATCTCTACCTCTCGCGGTCTTGACAATAATACTCGGCTCTCAGTCTATCGGCCTCTTGCTCAATGCGTCCGGAGCGTATGCGGACCCATCACCGCCTTCCCCTCCCGCTGCGTGGTGGGACGCAGGGTGGTGGACGGAACAGTTGGCCGCCCCTGACTGGGATTGGGCATCCATTTCTCAACAAAGCAAGTGGTGGACGCTCGGTTTCACGTTCTGGGTCTGGTGAGTACATACCAAGCTGTGCCAGTGCGGCGATTGCTGAGCTGCCCGTGGGTAGCATTGTCCTCATCAAGATACTCATGGGAATCAACCTTGTGAGCTATGCCGTGCGTCGACAGGCTGGCATGGAAGCGCGCAAGGACCACGATGTTATCAACGACTTTGGCCGAAACCCCATCGGCGAAGGGCGTGAAGAGCAGGTTCGTACTTCCATTGCCTGTGAGGAACGGGGAAGGATGCTTATCTCCTTCGGATAGAAATATAATAAAGAGCTGAAAACGCTGCTCGGCGACCGACAGCATGATCAGACTCCTGTCGCAGAGATCGGCGAGCGAGTACCCAATGCGAAGAGCGCAGCGGGTGAGGGAAAGAAGAGGCGGTTGGAGCTTGAAGAGCTGACGCGTTACACGATGGTCAAGAGAATATGGTAGATATGGTCAAATGCTGCATTCATAGGATATACAAGGTATCAAAACATGAGCTGGAAATCGATAGCATGATTGCACTTGGATGTGGATGAGATAGATGAAAGACACTGCACTCAGGCGCCGACTTCCACCTCGGGTAGCCCGGAGTTAGCGGCGGCTGGAGACTCCGGCCAGTCGATGGGGCTACCGTCGCGCTCCTGCTGGCTATCTGGCTGCGTTTCCTCCTGCGTGTCATGCTCCCCGTTCACCTGCGCCTCTGCGCCATCGACCTGAGTCTCCTCCTGAGTCTCCTGCGACTCGGTAGTGGGCCCTTCCGAGTTGCGCGCAGATGTCGGAGCCGAATCTTCCTCATCAGGAGCTGCCGCTTTCTTCGGACGCCCACGCTTCTTCTCTTTGATCTCGGGCGGAGGAGCGCGAGGTGGCAGGCCAAAGAGTGTCGTTTGTCTTGCAAGGCCAGTGTCCTTCTTCCCCGGCCCGCTCGTTGCAGTGGCTTTCCCCTTCCCCTTGCCGTTGACTGCGAAGTCGTCAGTAGAGATCGAGAGGCGACGAGCAATAGGTCATACCTTTGGAGCTACGACTGCCCGTCTCCGCCGCCTCCGCCTTCTCGAAGAACGTTTCGCTCTTCTGTAACGGCTTGTTGAACGGATTGCGGTGAGGCGCCGTCGCAGATTGCTTCGCGAAGGGGTTAGTGCCGGCTGCAAAGTCAGCGAAGGTCAGTCAGGATGCTGGAGCCCAGTCGACTACGTGAACATACCAGGCTTCGGCGCGGGGGGTGCGGGCATGGCAAGGTTATCAACAACGGCACGACGTTTCGCACCCTCGACGCCAGGCGACACAGAGTCGCGGTGCAGCTCGTCATCGTCTGACCGTTTGCGTTTCATCTCCGATGGTCCAGCTTGCGGTACGGGTGTACCGTAGTCATCCATGGTGTAGTCGTCATCCGCACCGTAACTCGCGTTCGCTTGGAGACTCGGCGTTGCACGCGTGAGTCCTGGGCGGTATATAGCGGGCGGAGGTCCGAAGTCGGCGAAAGGCTTAGAAGAACGACCGGATTCAACATGGGCGGGAGGTAGGCGAGGGGGTGGGATGGCGGTGTAGTCGTCAGCCCAACGGCGGCGCTTATCGCGAGCGCCCTCTTCACGATCATGCTCCTCACGGTCGTCCTTCAACGTCTGCATCTTCTCGCGCAGCCCTCGGAAGTGATAGAAGTCTGCGACTTTCATGGCCGCGTCGAACGATGCAGTGAAGTGTAGAAGTCGCGTGAGATCGAGGGCTCGGGGAAGCTTATCATTTTTGCATGCGAACTGGATGAGTTGGATAAGCTCCTTGTCGAGTGTCAGCTCTCGCTGGTGTGTATCGTCATCGGGTAGCTCATCGCCCAGTGCGTCGGCCTTGACCTGTAGCCAGATGGTTTCCCGGGCGAGACTGAAGGCAATATTGATCACCAGGGGCGTCACAGAGGAACTAGCAAAACTCACTGTTCCTCAAATGTTGCTTCCTTCTCCTCCTTCTTTCGGAAGGGCAGGCGCAGCGGTAGCTCTTGGATGAGAGGTCGAGGGAAGGCAGGATATTCTTGCCTGCCCTTAAGAATGAGGCAGTGGAAGAACTCGCTGCTGAGACCGATAGGCCAATACGTCTCATCCTTGCCGATTTTGCGCTCCAGTTTGTTCGTGTCCAACATGCGCACCCATGTACCGCGAAGGGGAATACGGAAACGAGGCATCATGTACATGACACCGGCAGAGTCATATGCCAAAGGCGCCTACGAACAGCGTTCATGAGCTCGCAACGCGACAGATATACGGACCTTCACTCACGCCTTCCTCAGATATGCCTATCCACTTGAGAGTCTTGCCCTTGCGAATAGGCAGCTTTCGCGTCTGGAGTACACAGAGGTCTTCGAAATCGTACAGTGTCCCGACAAGATTCTGCGAACCTGAAGAGTATTCAGCAAGGTCTTGGCTTCCCCCAAGAATGTGAATTCACCATCCATCGTCGTAGCGCCATCCCTTGACACCACGAACACCCACTCATGACCGGCGACCATGGATACAAAGTCTCCATCGAGGGCGACAGAGCAACGCTCAATACCCGCCCCAGACAAGAACGTGAGCTCGTTTTCACTTGTAGCAACGACGACATTGCCGTGGCCCTGTGTATCGGCATCCTTCATGACGCGGTAAGACTTGCTTGGAGGAGCGCCACCGGCCGCGACGCCGAGGACCTTGACCCCTTGGTCAAGCTCATATGTCCATTCTCCTTGAGCTGCCCAGTTGCCGTAGGGCTTGTACCTGACGTGCGCGAGGTGTTCTCCTTCAGGATGGCAGGCGTATACGGCGCCGCGCTCGCCTCAAGGTTTCGTGAGCAATTGAGTCTGAACAAGAGGCTCGGGGGCTTACCGAGAGCCGCGATATGATACTTGAAGTTGTCATTGAAGAAGTATGACTTGCGCGTTGATTGATCGTGGAACTCGACGTTGATGATATGATGTGTATCCTGGTCGGTTACCTCGATGACACCGATCATGTTATAGGCTGTAAGCAGGTCAGTCAGTTATTCGCTGGCTCCAATGACAAGATATACCAAGGTAGCGTTTCTTGTGTTCCATAGGCGTCGACCCAGGTTGGAAAGGGGGTTGTGCCTTGGTTACGCTGACCATCTCCTTCACAAAGCCGCGCTCATTATCGTCACCATCCTTCTCAAGAACGCCGGCGTCATCATCCATCCAGTCGATGGGCTCCAGCTCTTCCAGATTGTCCAGATCGACGTCGTCGTCCGCGGGTCCATCATCGTCCTTGGCCGGCGTGTCATCATCATCGAACAACCCTAGAGCTTCACGTCGCGCAGGTTCTGGTTCGCGGCCGCGGCGTGTGGCGGTTGCAGTCGCGGACTTGTACGGGGACTGATAGTCGGACGGGATGACTTCTTTCCAACGGAGGAAATGGCCAGAACTGTCCACGAGTGCAAGCAGATTCTCCTTGGGAGACCAGGCTAGTTGTGTTGCAAAACCGCGCAACCTCTCGTCGACAAGCCTAGATGATCGCGTTGAGCATTGACCATCAGGATATGTCACACCACACGTACTTGAAGAGCAGGAGCTTGGCAGGAGACCAGATGTGGACCTCCGAATTAGCGGATGAAGCGAGGTATGCGCCGTTGGGCGAGAATGCGAGTGCGGTGATGGCTCCCGTAACAGACGGATCCGAGTACTTGCCCACCTCCGCCCAAGTATCGCGAGAGATTGATACTATGTCTACTGATAGTCAGCTCGGGATGTACTAGAGAGTCGAGAGTATTTACCGTGTGTGCGCGAAGCGAGTACGAAGTATTGGCCGGTGGGATGCCATACGGCGGAACAATCGTGAAGAAACTCTTCTTTCCTAGAAGCAACTTCAGCGTTGTTCTAATGGGATTAGCCATGCCGCGCACTTTGAGTCCTTTACGGCGGGAATGACACCTTCCAGCGAGTGCACTCGCCGAGGAACTTCTTGCGTCACGTCCCATACATCAACAGTACCATCCGCCGCACTTGTAGCCTTTGTAAAAGGTCAGACAGCAAGTGTAGAGCGATGGAGAGGCGGAAACGCACCAACAGAGAGCCCGTCGGATCCCAAGTCAACCTGCGCACGCACTCGCTGTAGCCTTCGAGCGGCCAGACCTTCAAAGTATCTTCGAGGTCTACAATCTTGACAGATAGCTCGCTAAACTTGGTTCAGGAAACCGTCTACATCGATTGAGCCTGCCACGCACTCCGAAGATATCGCTATGCGTTTGCCTGCGGGGTCAACAGCCACACATCGTATTGCCGCGCCCGGCACTTTCGCCACCATGCCTTCCAACTCATTCTCCCTGAATATCCGGACATTCCCATCTTCGCTTCCCGTGAACCATGTTCCTTTCTATCTGGGTATTTAGCCGTATATTGTGATTAACCGCTTAACCACGCACCCCAGCAGCGATCGTCGTGATAGGTAAGTCTGTCTCGGTATGATATGGCGGCTCCTCGTCGCTGCCAGCATTCATATCCCACGACCTAGATATCAAGTCGGTGCCAGTGTAGCACACACTGTGGCGGGTTTAGCATCTTCGCATATTGTGCAGTGATTATAAGTAGCCTACTTTCCATCCCGAGAGAAGGCTAGCGCAGTCAAGCCCTGATACTCGAGGTCATTCAGTTCAGCAGTATTATTGAGCACAGTGGGTTGTTGCCGGCTCGTGCTCGCCATAGCGTTGATGACGGTGGTGGTCGAAGCGGAGAACTAGACTCAAACCACGGCGCGTCTGCGCGCGTCAACGAACAGGAAACGCGTGTTGTCACGTCTCGGGGTCACGCTGCGCGTCAATCCGAGCTCGAAGTCCGTTAAGGCCGAAAGCCGTCCGACTCATCTTGACCTCACACGACTACGACCGAGCCATGCGCCGAACAGCACACCTAGCGAAACATCACGTCCAACACACCCCAACTATTCCAAATAGGACAAGGACCTACTCTACAGCACATTTCTACCAGAACCGACAACTTGAGCTGTATGCATCCAAAGAAGCGCGTCGGCTCAGTCTGCGGCAACTCGTGCGGCCAAAGCCCCCGCCGAGAAACACGGCTCTGACGGCCGTATAGGTCTTTTATGGACGCTCTATGACCGAGGAGAGACTCATTCAAGTGAGTACATCATAATGGCTTTGTTGGGTGTGAGATTGACTGGACAGAGCGCAAACTATGTACGGTCTGAGCTGCCGGTTCGAATAGCCCATCGCATTCGAGACTTGCAAGCACTCCCATATGTTGTTGTCACCCAGGAAGGAGTCAATAAGGTCTATGAGGCACGTCCCTGCGCCCGTTCCCATCATTTCAGTATACTGATTGTGGACTGTAGCTATATTGGCAAGCGTTCGAGAAGTACGCTAAAATGTGATCTGACCTGGCTACGCCTATTGACACATTGTACAGGTATCGCCGCTTCCCGGAGATTAAGACCCTCGAAGACAACGAGAAATTCTGCGAATTCACCCGTGCATTGCTGGACACCCAGTGAGCTTCCCCCTCTCCGTCGCCTCACGTCTATGACTGACATGCTTGCTGCAACAGTCGAGCCGTAATTCCCAGTCTATCTCTCGGCCTCTCGTTGTCTTCCCCCCACCTTCCCCCGGATCAACTCGACGCATTCATGCGACGAATGCTGGTGTCCCGCATGTCGCGCCGCGTGTTGGCACACCACCATATCGCGCTGTCGGATGCCTATAACGGGAGGGACACCGATGATGCTGGCGAAAGCCATGTCGGCGTCATCTACACTGGACTCAGTCTGGGAAAGAGTGTTCGCAAGGTCGCCAGCATTCTTCGTGAAGCTGAAGGCTCGCAAATGGTTTGGCCGGAGGTGCTCTTGGAGGGACATCTGGACGCGAAATTCAGTTATATCAAGGAACACCTGGAGTATATCATCTTTGAGCTCCTTAAGAATGTACGTCAGTGCTTGGTTGTACGTACCGGTCCGAAGACTGACGGTCGGTAGGCGATGCAAGCTACAGTTGCTCGACATAGCGGTAGCTCGAGCCTGCCTCCCATACTTGTGACCGTAGTTGCCGGCGCCGACGACATCAGTATGCGCATATCAGATCAGGGTGAGCGCATCTGTTCTCGGATGCGAAAAAGCGCTGACTTCAATGTCCAGGTGGCGGCTTGATGGACCCTCATATCAGTTCTCCAGCCGACCTATTCTCCTTCTCGCATGTGCGTAATGCGACACGTCTCGAGAACGAGCGTCTCGGCTACCTACGTACAGCAAGCGCCAGCCCGTCCGGAATGGTCGCTACCGTAGAGGAGGTCGTTGACCGATGGCAGAAGGATGTCCGGTCACGCAGTGATCCAGAATTGGATGCTGGCGTCGGACATCATCCCAGGTTGGGCATTGGGCTGCCGATGAGCAACATATTTGCGAGTTACTTCGGCGGTTCCCTTGAACTATTATCCATGAACGGATGGGGCACGGACGTTTATCTACGCTTGCCGAAACTGGTATGTCGCGCTCAACCTTATCGTCTGGCGTTACTTGGAAGCTGACACTGGCTCCGATTGCAGGGGACGAACCTTGAAGGCATTGAGTTCTGACAGGGGTTATTTTCTTGGAATATATTTGTGATCTGTGTGTGCTCGTATATACTAGTGTCATTGTACGCGATAATAGACGCCCATGCTATTGTGGACGACTATCGTTTGTCTTTTTCGTTGGCTTTTCCACCGCGGCACAACACGTGGTAACAACGTGGGACTAGAAGTGACGACGTTCGGTTTATGCCCTGGACCTTGATTTCAACCACCTCCCAGTCTCTTCTTCCGAACAACTATCTCCCTGCGATACATCCTCCTCTAACCCTTCTAACGTCCCTTTTTAACCTCTTGTCATCTGCTTCCGCTTATTGGCGTGATTCCGATACCTCCGAGACATGGCTATCCCACGCCCAATCAACGACAGCACCTTCAACAACATCCTGCTCAGAACGAGCACACCCGGTACGCTCAGATCCACCGCAAGCATCAACGTTTGAACGATGTTCTGATTGCGGTCCTGGCCGCTGTCAGCCCCTGATGAGAAAGGTGCGGAGAATTGAGATCGTAATAGGCGCGCATCGAACGCTCAACGTTATCCAGTGCTCATGTACCTCGAGGGCATGCGCGGCTCCGGCGATGGGAGCACGCTCTTGAGTCCTCATACTGGTCATCAGCAACTTCCTCGCAGTCAGCTCAGTGGGACGTCGTACCGCCCAGAGGAACAGTATGCCGATGAGTACGCCGAGGACGAGATTAGCTCGGACGTGCAGGAACAGCCCCAGTCTACTCTAGGCTCGCATGCTGGGCGGGTATGTCAGAAATGTAACTCTTATATAATAACTGTGGTTGATGAGCTACGTCAATAGGAGCCCGGACCCGAGGAAGAACCTGGGCCGCATTATCCTTCGCTTGGGGCTTCCTCGTTTGGACATCGTGGTCCCATACCGGGTTCTAGTACCGTCGAGGTGGGCTTTGTTCCGAACTTAGTATTTCACCCGTCACTCAGTTGTCCACAAAGAGCACTCCTAAGAAAGCCGCTGGTGTCCCTCTCCCCAACTCGACTCTTGCTCAGTCGACGACCAAAGTACGAAGCTCCCGGGCTGGTTCCCGCGCTTCTGCCTCTCAACTTGCTGCATCTGCTATGAAGGCGGGCACTACCGCTGCAGAGGAACGTCCGATGGTATGTAAAACGCCGTACATATCTGGACGTGTGCTCATCCTATCTACTTTGCACAGTCACCTAAGGCCCCGACCAACTTGAGCAGAGCCATGTCTCCTGCTCGTCCTGGATCGAAGAACACTCATCGCTCAGAGAAGCAATCGACGGCATACCCGCCGCTTCCCGAGAGTGTCACCGAGAGCCTGGCCGGTAACCGTTCGCGTCGAGCGTATTCAAAGGCGCCTTCGCTCTCTCCGTCCGATTCTCCGTCCAACTTCAAGCCTCCGCGTCCGCAAAGGATACAAAAGGAGGCGACCTTGCCTCCAGTGCCAGCATCGGCATCTGGCGCCTCCGACGCAGAGGCAGCGTCGCGTGTTCGGTCGCACCGCACGGGAGAGGGTGCGGCTTTACATCATTCGTCACTCATACCCGGCACTGAACGCCTTTCTACCACAGTCCGCTCTCAGGCTGGTGCCGGTGCGTCAGCGATCCAGTCGGCGGTGTCTGGCGGCGGTCGCTCGCAACGCCCGCAATCGCCTCCCAGGACCGCGCCTATCGAGCAGGACCTCATGCATGCCGTGATGACTGGCCAGCGCTCCGTTGTCAACGGATCCGTTGCCAGCAGCCGCCGTGAGCCACGCGCTGCTTCCAATGTGACGTCCTCGCGCGTGCAATCTCCGGATGAGATGAACACAGCTGAGCAGGAGATGGTTCAGAACATCCTGCTCGGTCGTCCCGCCATGAGCACCAACCGCACTTCGTACGCTGCGACATCCGTCATCGAGCCCAATCACCTTGCACACTACCACGACGCTCAGCTCTGCATTCTGCTTCACAAGCTCGAAGACGAGAACGAACAGGAGATCGTGCGCAAGGCTGTGCGTAAGGCTGTCAAAGAGCGCGTGAAGAAGCTGGGTATGAAATTTGATAACGAGGTATGCTTGCCATAAGCAAGCTCATACAGTCGCTTGTTCTGACCAGACGGCTTCCAGACAATCAGAGATTTCCGGAAGTCGTATCATGACCACGATCCTTCCATTCATCTCCAACCGCTCTACCCGCAACAGTCGCAAATGCCTCCCATCCAGGAGAACCCGGAGTGGGTGCACACGCTACTTGCCCAGATGCAGAGCCTGCAGGAACAGGTTGCTGTACTTTCGCCCAAGATCGATGGCTTACTCAACTCGCCGCCGGGTAGTCAGAGAAACTACGAGTCGGAGGCGTACGCGCAAACGCCCATCACGCAGACTATCCACATTCAGTCGAACCAAACTGGCACCGAGTCTGTGTTTGCGCCCGCGACTGAGGTCGTCGTTGAAACAGAGCTTGGTCATCCCGAGGAGGAGGAGTACGAAGAAGAGGAAGAGGAAGCTGGTACGGAGGTTGCGCCGGAAACCGCTCCACAAAGTGTAACGCAAACCCGCGGCGTCAGCGAGTATACAGCTCACCGCGACTCTCCTGGCCAACAGTACCTCGAAGAGGAGCTGTACAAGCTTCGCGTCAAGCCCAGCGGCAGTCAATCCGCCATTACCCATAAGACCTGGGAACTCGCTCGTGATGATGGCGAGGATGAAGAGTATGACGACGAAGAGGACGACGCGCATGTTGCCGTCACGGAGTCAGGGATGCCCGAGATCCCCGACTCGCAGGGCGGTTATACCCGCCCGACATCCCCTCCTGCGCCCTCTGAAAGCCATCGCGAGGCGCCTCAGCCCGCCGAGAACCATGGATGGCACAGTGACTATACCAACGAGTCGAACCAGCCTCCGCCGTGGCAGCGCATCCACCAGCGGCTTCTTAACTGGGCCATCGTCTGGCCATTGTCGGAGCTGGACAATGCATACAACAGCACGCAGCGTGGTAACCAGGTCGATGAGGTTGCGCTTAGCATCTGGTCGACCCAAACGTACAAGCGCTATGTGCGTAGTAAGATGACAGATGCTCCCCCAGGACGTGTGGACCGTCTCTTCGTACCTCCGAACATGGCCGACGCCATCTCCAATGCGGTCTTCAACGGGCGTCACGGTGACGCTTCTGGTATGCTTCGTGACCTCTGGCACCCATTCGGCCTTGACAACATGCCCCGTCTGCTCATTGTCCTCGCTCGCCACCGCTCCGACGCGAACCACTGGGTGGTGCACCGGTGAGTGTGTCACTGAATATCCCACCGACCTCCGGCTAATTGTTCGCTTTACAGCTTCTCTCTCCCCGACGGGACCCTTACAACCTACGATTCGTACCCTGAGCGTTGTCTCCCGGACGGCCGCGTGAGTCCCGACCCCATATCTTCCACCTCTTCCCCCACCTACTACGAAGACGACATGGCTAATCCTGTATGGTCTCAGCCGTTGGGATGGTGGTTCGCGATCCGTATCGCCTGGCCGCACGCGACGTACCCAAGCCCCGACAACCTCATGCAAAAGATGGTCCGTTTGCACCGACCCATGCAACTCGGCATCGATAACTCGGTTGCGGCCGCCGGTATCTGGCGCAACCTGCTCATGGGCTCGCGCGCGGAGCGCAACCTCGACCTCGCTCGCCTTCGCGACCTCATCAGTACGGAGACGGCCAACTTGCGCCAAAGGAAGCAGCTCGGGAAGCTGACGATCGGCGCGCCGCGGCCGAACTGGGAAGACATGAACTGAATGACTTTGGAATGAATGAACGATCTTACTCACAGTACGCGTACGAACGAACAGTGCTGGGCATGGAAGGAAGTTTGGTCCTTGGTGTATGACTATGTGCTCTGGCTTGTATTATGTTGCGTCGCTTGCTTCCTTTTGATGCTATCTCCGATGCGCGTTTTGTCCCTTAGATAAACCATGTGCATAAATAGTTTGCCTGTTGATGTAAAATCCTGATCGTCATCTCTTTATGGGTATACGTACGACGGAATGAAGACCGGAACACTGCGATGGGAAGATGCGCACGTTAGCATCGGTGTGCGTGCCGCCGTGGTCTGGCCACGACTCGGCTTTCAACCACCATCAACCCCCTCCACAAACCGTACACTCCTTCGTATATTCTCCTACTGGCATCACTGGCACCCTCTCTTGGTATATATTACTGCTCGCCGCTTAACGAATGCCCATCGTACAAGCCCTCACCGGCTATGCCGGTTTGACACTACTCGCCACAACATCGGTATTTGCCGGTTCTCACGGCAGCTTACCCGTCAGTTCATGATTACCCTCATACACGCTGTATGCCACTGAACGTGTCCTAACAGAAACCAAAGCTTCCTCCAGCAGGCGAGGATGCAGAGCAGGAGGAGGAAGAGGAGGTCATGCCTCATATTACATCCGAGGACGCCTGGCTGTTTCCTGTGCTTGGCTCGGTGACCCTGGGTGGCCTATATCTCATCATCAAATACCTCGGACCGGATTGGATCAACTGGCTCATGAGCTGGTACCTCTCACTGGCATCTCTGTACAGCGTTACCGACGCTCTCCTCAGAGTAGCCCGCAACTTGATTGGGCCAAAACGGTATCGGTCATTCACTCAATACCACCTGAAGTTTCAACGCGGAAAGAACCGTTAGTGTTCACTGAAAAGAATGTCAGAAGATTGTATATTGACAGCCTTTAGCGCTCTTCGCGTATTCATGGCGGACACCCTCCTTCTTTCTCATCCCGCTGGGAACATTACCCACGATTCTGTATCGACTTGAGAGCGGCAAGAAGTCGGCTCTCTTGACAGATATTTTGGCGTTATCCTTTGCACATGAGGCCATATCTATGATGAAGCTCGACTCGTTCAAGACTGGCTGCATCCTCTTGAGCGGCCTCTTCCTCTACGACATCTGGTGGGTATTCGGAACAAAAGTGGTCAGTGTACCCTACCAGTAGTCATTATACATATGCGTTGACGCTGATGATGTTACTTCAGATGGTTAGTGTTGCCACGAGCCTCGATGTGCCTATTAAATTGCTCTGGCCCAAATCCTTCGGTGATCTGTCCAAGGGCCATATGATGCTCGGCCTGGGCGACATTGTCGTACCGGGAGTCTTCGTAGCGCTGGCTCTGCGTTATGATCACCAGAGGTCTCTTGTGCACGGTGGAGACGGTAGAAGCTTTCCTAAGCCATACTTCACTGCCGCGGTTCTGGCGTACGTGTCAGGTCTTGCCACAACCATGACTGTCATGCACGTCTTCAAGGCAGCACAGCCTGCATTACTGTATCTGAGGTAAGTTGCGCACTCGAATAGTTGAGTTAGCTGTCACTGATGTTCACTTCAGTCCCGCATGCATATTGTCCTTTGTCATCACCGCCGCTGCAAGAGGGGAGTTCAAGGAAGCATGGTCATGGTCCGACGAGACACCGGAAGATAAGAACAAGTCTGAAGTAAAAGGTCAGCGATAGATATTACACTGTACAACGTTGAATCAGCTCTGACCGACTCTGTAGATCAGGATCCCAAGAAAGAGCAGTAGTGAAATCGAGATCGTCTAGTATATTCAATGTAGCATCGTCATAGTCTCTACTCCTAGCAATCAGACTCCTTGCGACGACCTATTTGTCGTCATACCACAACCCTTCATCTCTACCAGTGATCTTGTGGATGCCGTCAACAAAACCTGAATGAAATGGCACATATACCCTGAGGATGACGCCAAGCTCTCGGCCGATCCCTGGACGCCGGAAGATCTGGATGCTGTACTGATCTTTACCGAAGACCACCACCATCCGCGACCACCGAACGTTGAGATAGCTGTGAGGGATGGTCGCAATAGACTATTCTGTATACCTGGTGACCGGACGAGAGCTATTGCCTCCCAACAAAGTCCGTGGATCGCGACCCCTGACGGCATACCGATGAAACTTAACGGCTTACTGCACAGACCTATCTGGATACTCTCGAAGAGGTATGTGTTTGCTACTGATATCAAGACACCTACAAGTTTCTGATCTGACTTCGCAAGGCCTTACGCGGTGGTGTGACTCTCGTTCAAGTACGCGAGAAGGACGCCGAGACGCGGGAGGTGCGCGAACATCGGCTGTTTCGCCTTTTCACCCATGACACTCAAGATCATACGCATATCAGTTTCTCCGCATCGCTGAACAGACTATTGAACTCTGTAACAAGTACAATGTCCCAGTTCTCATCAATGACCGCATCGATATAGCGCTCGCGTCTGGTGCCGCTGGTGTACACCTCGGTCAAGACGATATGCCCATCGAGACCGCGCGCAAGCTGCTCCCTCCAGGCTCAATCATTGGAATCACTACGACAAAGACAGAACACGTCAAAGCCGCCGTGGCGAGTGGCGCAGACTATGTCGGCGTGGGTGCTGTCTTCCCGACGGCCACGAAGGATGTTTCGGAGCCTGGGCGCGTCCGCGGAGTTGAGGGAGTGCGGGAGATGCTGGAAGAATTAGAGGGTTCGAACGTTAAATCTGTGGCGATAGGTGTGTACGCTATAGACGCTCGTCCGCAGTACAGGGCTCATGCGAAGAAGGTGGCGTCAAGTCGACGAATCTGACGAGGGTTCTGCATGGATGCTCTTCCGCTCGGGGTCTTGGCCTCGACGGCGTCGCGGTTGTCTCCGAGATAATGGCGGCTCAGGATCCCCGTACGGCCGCAGAGCGCCTCGCCAGTATCTACAGGGCGTGGCACACTGTTCCGCGCATCCCGACGAGCTTTTCAAATGCGGAAACGGAACTCACAGCGGCTTCCCTCGTCGAGCGTGCAGGACAGCTTCTCGAAGGCGTACGCGCGGTAAAGCCTCTCGTGCATCAGGTACTTCACATTTCTCAGCTTTGTAGGCTTCCACTCAGTACTTCTCAGATAACGAATGGCGTTGTGAAAACTCAATCGGCTAACGCGACACTTGCACTCGGCGCCTCTCCTATCATGGCCGCCTCGGCACAAGAGCAGGTTGATCTCGCGCGCATCCCTGGCGGCTTGCTCATCAACTTCGGGACGATCGAGGACGTCCAAGGAATGCTTATTGCTGGTGCTGAGGCAAACAAGAACCGCAAACCAGTAGTGTTCGATCCGGTCGGCGTAGGCGCTACGGCGTACAGGCGGGAGACGGCGTCTAGTAAGTCAGCTGGCAAGTCATTAAGATAGCACTCGTACTCAATGAGTTGCAACAGAACTCTTGAACGCATGGCAAGCTACTGCGATAAAGGGCAACGCGGCTGAAATTGGTTCCATCGCGCGTCTGGACGAGGTAGGCGTCGAACCCTGAGCTGGCTCGCGCACGCGGTCTGACAGAGAACTTTCTTAGGTCAAAGGTCAGGGTGTTGATAGTCTAGGCGACTTCAAAGACCCGATCTCTGTCGTGCGACGTTTAGCATTGCGCGAGCGTGAGCATCATTCGCAATTTGTATACACTCCGAGCTGATCTTATACGATAGGCTGCGTCGTCGTGCTCAGCGGAGTTACAGACTATATCACTGATGGACATCGCGTTGTGCAGCTTTCCAACGGTCATCCACTTCTTGGTCAAATCACAGGCTCAGGTTGCATGTTGGGAACAGCTGTCGCGTACGCCCATTCCTCTGCCTCGCGCGTCTTTACTCACTAACGAGCATGTCTTTTCATTAGTACGTTCTGCGGTACTGCGAGCATGCTTGCAGAACGCGAGCCAGCCGCATCAGATGTGGGCGTGTTGGTGAAGGGCGACATGCTCGTGGCCGCCGCGGCTGGTGTACTCGCATTGACCATCGCTGCTGAGCTGGCCGCCGAACGGCCGGAGGTACGGGGGCCTGGCACATTCTTGCCAGTCCTCCTTGATGAGCTATCGCGATTGACACCGGAGATACTAGCTTCGAGGGCCAAGGCCGGCGTCGTTATATGAGGTCATTGAAGTTGCTGCAGAGGGAGTGTATCCCTTGATTTGTACGTATAGAATGTACGAGTGCATTGCTGAAGATAATCTGGCACTCAAATCAGAGACTACTGTACATGAGAACGGTGGGTGATGGGAAGATGGTGGCAAAACTTTGATGCGGCTACGACAGTACTAGTAGACCGCGCAGTGGCAGGCCGTCGGCATGTTCACTGCTAAAGTATGCATATTGTCTGGCGGAGCACGGGCGCTGAATAGGAGATTGTCGCGACCAGCGCATTGGACTAAGTTGTGTCTGTTCCCAATGAGAGAGGGGGGAGACCGGGACCGGCATCGAGCGAGCATGCGCGGATATACTTGGCTTGTAGTCCGCCTCAGTCCGCTTGAAGTTCATCCTGACGGACACTGCATTGTTTGTTGGGGTGTGCATGACAGTCAACAGGTGAAGACAGGTCAGGACAGCCTTGAGGATACATCTCGCACATCCCGATTTTAGTGCGTACTGGATAGTTCAGTAGATGCGGCGCTCATACGTCTGTCCTTCGAGAGATGAGATCCATACTGTTCATCAGGGAAGTTGAGCTTCATAGCGGTGCACTGGAGATGATCATGGAGGTGGACATAGAAGATGTGGGAGGGCGCAAGACTCGTCGGGCGGTGATTTGTTGGAAGATCCCAGGATCCTTGCGGGCGAATGGCCGCTTGAGCTCTCTGATGCTCGAAACGGTCGTTTCATTGTCCAATAGCACGGGCTTCTCGCCGTTGTTACAGTGATTAAACGTAAATGTGGGAAGGGACGACGGTTGGTCGGGCGGCTCGAGGTGCGCTGGAAGCCAATCAACGACCAGCAGGTGCGGCCGGAGCGGCAGATTGGAAGATGTGCACAGGCACGAACGCGCAGGGCTCGCGGTACCCGTCGTCTGCTGCGGGTTGCTTGACGATGGGCTAAAGATGTAAGAGGTGACTATAAGAGAGGAGATGGCCGTTTGGAGCAAGCGTAAATCAACCCCGCCCCTGCACCACCCTTTCGGCCCAGCCACATGTCCATGCTCACGATTCCTCGCCCGACCCACATCACGTCGCCCATGCAGAGTCCAACTCCCGACAACGAGGTGTTCTCAACGCCGCCCTCGACCCCCAGAGACTTCCTGGCCATGAACGGCAGCACCGAACCCGACATCCGTCCCTCTCTCACACGCAAGTCGTCCCGCCCACTCTCCAACTTGCACATCGCGCACTTTGCAACCGGCGACATCGAGCTCGATCAGAACTCGCCCTCGCCTCGACCGCCTCAGACTGCAGCACCCACGCAGCCCAGCAAGAACTCAAATATAGCGCCCTCTCAACCGGCCGAGCATCCTCAAACATCACCCTCGGCCGCATCTTCCTCCTCTGACTCGCCGTTTCACGTTGCCAACTCGCTGGCATCACCCTACTTTGTGCATTCAAACCTCGAGAACGGCAATAGTCTCGGGGATTTGCTCAAGGCGCGCACGGGCAACGGCCTCTTCGCCGATCTGGGCGTCTCGAAGAGCTTACAGTCGCCCATGATCGAGTACTATAAGCCCGGGCGGCTACAGCACACGCAGAACGGCGACGCGTACGAAGATGACGACGACGAGTCGAGCGTGAGCTTGACGAAGCATCTCGCCGAGACGGCCGTCGGTGTACGCGAGATGAGCAAGCAGCTTGGTACGCCGGGCGCCTGTGGGTCGTGATCGCAATCTAACGCTAATCCCGCCGCCGGCAGGACGAGCCCGCATCAAATCCAACATCCAGAGCATCCTCATCGTCACCAAGGCCAGGGACAACCGCCTGATCAAGCTCACGCGGGAGTTGGCGCTCTACCTTATGCTCAAGAAGGGTCAGAACGGCCGAGGACCCATCGTGTACGTGCAGCCCTGTGCTCGAAGATCCCGATCCATATTGACTTCTTCGGCGCAGTTACGTCGACCATCAGTTGCGCACGTCGCGCCGCTTCGACGCTGCTGGTATCGAACGCGAATACCCCGACTTGTTCACACCCTTCCCTCGCCGGAGATCATCCAGCAGCAACTCCGTCGCTTCCCTGTCTACGCTCTCCAGCCTTTCCAGCGCCGATGCCAATAATGGCACGAACATGAATGAGGAAGGCCAATTGCGATATTGGACTTCCGACATGTGCAGTCGTAGCCCACACCTCTTTGACTTTGTCGTGACGGTGCGTATGCTTGTCTCTAGGTATCTCTGCAGAACTGACTGGTACACGGTATAGTTGGGAGGTGATGGTACGGTCCTCTTCACATCATGGCTCTTCCAACGCATCGTGCCGCCCGTATTGCCATTCGCTCTCGGCTCGCTCGGCTTCCTCACCAACTTCGACTTCGCGGATCACGCATCCGTCATGGACAATGTCCTCGACAACGGGATCCGCGTCAACCTTCGTATGCGCTTCACATGTACCGTATATCGCGCCGTGCGCGGGCCAGAGGGTGAACGTAAAAGGAAGGCCGTTAAGAAGGGCGACACGGGTGAGATTATGATGCGTAACGTGGAGAAGGGCGGCTGGGAAGCACTTGAAGGCGGCACCATGCACGAGCATCGCCCGGCGAAGGACAAGGAGATCATGTGCTTCACAACGCGTCCTGTCGAGAGCTTCGAAGTACTCAACGATCTGGTCATTGACCGCGGACCCAGTCCTTATGTTAGCATGCTTGAGCTCTTCGGTAAGTCGTTGGCACAGCTATGCAATTCTTCGTATACTAACGGATCATGCAAGGTGACGAGCACCATATGACAACCGTCCAGGGAGACGGTCTGACGATCTCGACGCCGACTGGTTCAACTGCGTACTCTCTATCCGCGGGTGGCTCGTTGGTACATCCAGAGATCCCGGCGATTCTCATCACGCCCATTGCACCCCACACACTCTCTTTCCGCCCGATGTTGCTACCGGATAGTATGGAGGTCCGTGTCTGTGTGCCGTTCAACTCGCGCAGCACGGCGTGGGTATCGTTTGACGGTCGTGGGCGCGTTGAGCTCAAGCGTATGTCGTCTTCACTCAATGTCATCGGTTTTCTCTGACCATTATCGTGCAGAGGGAGACCACATCAAAGTCACCGCTTCGAAGTACCCCTTCCCAACCGTATGTCACGATAAACAATCCACCGATTGGTTCCACGCCATTTCGCGTACGCTCAAGTGGAACGATCGCGAGCGACAGAAATCATTCGTGGTCGTCGAGGAGGGCCCAGAGAAGAAGAAGGCGTCAGTCGAAGCGAACACGAAAGGCAATGGTTGGGAAGATGATCTCTCTGGGCAAGATGAGGAGGACGAAAACGACGAGGATGAAGTCGACGAGAAGTTCGACATCGATGATCTCTCGTCCGAGAACAAGCCCGAGGGCTCGGTTGCTCAGGTCGATGTTGTGCGTAACACCTCGGCGCAGACCCTGGACACCGCCCGTTTGAAGGCATTCGAGCAACAGTCCGACAACGACGCTGCACATCGCGCCGCCGAAGCGCTCTTGAGCGGACGAGCGGTACCCGGTAATCAACATCGCTCCGGTCTACACTCGGGCGTTGACAGCCCCAACCGCTACATCGCAGGCTCCCCGCCACACTTGCCACCTGCCCAGCATCCGCAGTCCGCGCGCCACGTCCACTTCCCTCACCAACCTGCTCCACGGCCTCACAGTGGCGCTCATGCGCCCAGCAGCGGTGGTGGTCCGCTCCGTGACGACGCGCGCACACCGACTGCTGCAGAGCACCGCCATCGCTCACGCTCTCGAGGACGCTCGCGCGTCGAATCAGCGCCCGCACCCCAACCGCGCGCTTTCGCGGTCTTCGGGGCTGACGAGAGCGACAGTGCACCTAGTGACACGGAGTCATAGATGGACCTCAAGTACTCGTCACTGTCTCAGTCCCAACTGTTTTGGATTTGTGCCTCACGCTTTCGCTGGTGGAATCTCTGTTTAGATCTGGATAGGTTCGCATACAGATACGTAGAGGATACGTGTACATAGGTCGCTGAGGAGAGCTTGTTCATTGGTTGTAATGCTGTATTTGTACGCTAGAGTTTGTAAGGTCGGCTGTCAGACGGCGTTCTGCCGGTAGTGAAAGTGACGAGAATGTGTACAGGCATTGGGCCCTCCTTTGAATTGGGGCTCTCCTTTGAACAGTCGGCCTAGCAGTGCTAAAACTCAGAAAATAAATGGCAATAAATTCACTGTACATACAGAATGATCTTAAATACATCATATCCAAAATTCAAATATTTCTACGAGGGTATGAAGACAGTACGTCGCTACGACCCGTTTTCGAAGGATGATACAGGCATGCCGCGAGTTGAAGATTTCGCCATTGTTCGTTTGCCCAACAGGTTCTTGTACTTTTGAGTGCTCAGCCGTCTCTATTGCGACAGATTGAAGGTGCCATAGTAATTTCAGAATTCCGCACCGTGAGTGGGTGCAGTAATTGCGGTAGGAACGATGGTGCGGGTTTGAGGCGTGACAAGGCCGCCCTCCGCGCGGTCACATCGCGCGCGAGTCGGCGGAGTGCTCCTTTGTCCTTCAGTGTGCTGCGCGCCGTGTCGAAACATCTGCGTCCGTGCTGTGCCTGCAGCTTACTCGGCCGACATTTTCCCTCGTCTTCA